ATGGGCCGGCAGCTTGATAGCTAGGCACCAGAGGAAACCCATTTTGTTCCTTTCAGATCTGCACCACTTAGAATTTCCCAGCTGAGCAAGGATAGACAACCTACTGCCAGACCTTTGTTGGTATTGCTCTATTCCAGCCAAAAAAAGGAGTGTGAAAGTTCACGGATGACTCTTTCCCTGAAGTGAGGCATCTTGGCTCCGCCTGGTGCTCTCAAGTAATGGTTCAGCTGACAAGAAATCACTTACCGCACAAATTGTTAATGAAGTACACATCACAACGAGTGTTTACCAGCAAAATCCCAGATCCCTATTGTTCCTACAGCAGCACTTTGGCACAGCACCCACACTGCGTCGCTAGGACAGCTTCAATTCATTAATTTAAATGGCAAATTAAACCCTGTCTGACACATATTTTGGTTTGACTCACAACAAAAGATAATTACATTGAATGAAAATAGTGTTAATCCATTAGTCTATTTGATGGAGATTTGCAGGATCTCACTGAGTATAAGATGGATAAGGACATCTTTTGTCTGATAGGAGTCTTTTGTACTTACAGATACTTGACCCCAGTGAGGTTATTTTCACACATGTTACGAGTTTAAGCTGCAGGACATTATTGGGAAGGCTTACTTTTACATTTACTGTTGTATTTGTCATTACCAAAATAAGTTTAGGATTAATTATTTGGTTTCCAAGAAAAACTTATAAACGAGTTGTAATGTAGGGATTTGCATAATTGCATCTTTATAATGTACCAGGAAAGGAAGAAAATATGATACCCAAAGCAACAGTAAAGAAACTACAACCTAGTGAATGGGAAAAATTGCAACAATAATAATAATAATCCTTGCATTTCATATAGCGCTTTTCACGTCGGGAGGACATCCCAAGGCGCTTCACAGAACACACTGTAAAGTGAATTGACTGTGTATTTGTGGGCGAACGCGGCAGCCAATTGCGCACAGCAATGTCCCACAAACAGTTGTAGATTGAAAATGACCAATTTATTATTGGTTTTGGTTTTGGAGGGATTATTATTATTATACAAGTCACAAAAGATCAGAAGCATTCTTATCAATAACTATTATTATAATGTATTTGTTGGGGTTTCGAACTGATTCCAATGGTTATAAAACAGAGGAGAATAATTCAATTTCCATCATGGCTACAGAAATTGGATATATGTCACTAAACCCATGTAAAAGATGCCCTTTTGATAGACAGATCACATGATCTTTACCAATAGTATAATTTGTCTTGTGTAGGTACTTATATTTTACTTTGAATCCATTTCACTATGAGCCATGTTACATGAATGTAATAACCATACCCAGGCATTTAAAAAGATTGCTCGTTATTATCATTTCAACATTGACAGATTGTATAAAGTACAACTACCTGTTCCTTAAGAATAAAACTCCTCTGAATCTTGTCTATACCAACTATTATGGAGCAGACTTATATTCGACTTATATGCAAAATGGTCACATCTCTATTGGTTTTCGAACATCATTTATAATTAATATGATCTGAAGAATCATAGAAATATATGGGCACTTTATTTAGGTACTTTGTTACCTCAATTTCCAAGCTGTTTTATTGCCATTAACAACAACAACAAATTACCAGGACTATCTCCAAACCCACCCGATCCCCCTAGTACAACAACCATCTCCGCCACCTAAAAATCCAAACCCGGCTGTTCGAGTGCAGATGGTGGAAAACTGGCCTGACAGTCCACCACCAACTGTGGCGCGAGCATCTCCACAGCTACCGCTGTTCTTTGACACGTGCAAAAACGGCCTTCTCCTCCAACATCATCTTGGAGGCTAAACACAACCCTAAAATCCTTTTTTCCACCACCCACTACCTCCTCCGTGCGCCCCCTCAGGCCTCCTCAATCTTCATATCAAATGCCAAGTGTGAGGAGGTCATGGACTTCTTTTCATCTAAAATACACAACATCCACCAGGCAGCCTCATCCACCTGCCTCTTGTCACCTACCACCACGTCCTCTCTATCCCCCTCACCCTCCCCATCATCTGCTCCTACCACCACCCCCATCCTACATTCCTTCCTCCCCATCTCTCCCTCCTCGCTCTCACCCACCATCACCTCCATGAAACCCACTACCTGCTGCCTCGACCCCCTCCCCACCAGCTTGCTGGTCACCCAGCTCCCCATTCTCTGCTCACTACTGGCTGACTTCATCGACCAATCCCTCTCCTCTGGATCAGTCCCTGCCCCCCTCAAAACTGCTCTCATCACAGTCATCCTCAGAAAACCTTCCCTAGATCCTTCAAATCCCAGCCACTACTGCCCTTTCTAACCTGCCCTTCCTCGCAAAAGTCCCAGAACGTGTTGTTGCCAATCAACTTCGTGCACACCTCTCCTCCCACTCCCTCTTCGAACCCCTCCAATCCGGTTTCCGCACTCCCCACAGTACAGAAACTGCGCTTGTGAAAGTCACAAATGACATCCTCTCCATCTGTGACCAGGGCTCTCTCTGCTTCCTTGTACTCCTGGACCTCTCCTCGGCATTCGACACAGTCGATCACGCCATCTTCCTCCACCGCCTTTCCTCCGTCATCCACCTCAGTGGGACCGCACTCGCCTGGTTCGAGTCCTACCTCACAAACCACCAGCAGTACATCTGCACAAACGGCTTCTCCTCCCGCTCTCACCCAGTTACCTGTGGGGTACCCCAAGGATCCATCCTTGGCTCCTTCCTCTTTCTGATGTACATGCTCCCTCTTGGGGATGTCATCTGCAGACATGGGGTGTATTTCCACATGTATGCGGATGACATCCAACTTTATTTTTCCACCTCTCTTTGCGGCCCCCAGTCCCCTGATGTTCTGTCAGCCTGCCTGTCAGATCTCAGGGGCTGGATGAGCGCGAACTTCCTTCAGCTGAACGTTGACAAGATGGAAGCCATACTCTTTGGCTCTTGTCAACGTCGAAAATCTCATGGCTCTCACCTCCTCCACCTACCCGACCTCCTCCTAAAACTCTCCGAATCCGCATGCAACCTAAACGTCAGGATCGACCCCCAATTATCCTTCCTCCCCCACATCCGGTCCCTCACCAGCACCGCCTTCTTCCACCTCCGATGCATCGCCCATCTCCGCCAATACCTCTCTCCGAAAGCTGCTGAAACCCTAGTCCCTCCCTTTGTCACCTCTTGGCTGGACTATTCAAATGCCCTCCTTGCCGGTCTCCCCTCCACTACCATCCATAAAATCCAGATCATTCAAAACTCTGCTGCCCGCATTCTCACCCACACCGAACTCTGCTTCCCGATCGCCCCAGCCGTTGCCAGACTGCATTGGCTGCCTGTCCCAGAGAGCATCGACTTCAAGATCCTCACCCTTGTATTCAAATCCCTCTACTCCTCTGCATCCCCCTACCTCTCTGACCTCCTCTCTCCTCAAAACACAACCCATTGCCTTCATTCTTTCGGGTCCAGCCTTCTCCTCGTCCCCCGAGTCCTCCGCTCCACCCTTGGCGGCTGTGCCTTCAGCCATTATGCCCCGAGGCTCTGGAATTCCCTTCCTCACTCCCTTTGTCTCGCCCCCTCTCTTCCTATTTTCAGGTCCCTGCTGAAGACCTTTCTTTTCGACTGTGCCTTTGGTCACCTTCCTCCCCATCCCCCTGACTCAGCCCCGGGATCCGTTACTGTGAAGCACTCTGAGACGCCGTCCGGCGTGGAGGGCGCTATATAAATTCAAGTTATTGTTGTTGTTGTATTACATTTGTATAGCACCTTTCACATTGTGAGGACATCCAAAGATGCTGGACCGTCAGGGATTTGGACCTGAGCAGGGGTTTGTGATCACCAATGGTGGCGGGTAGGGAGGGTCTTCAGACGTGCCTTGAAGGAGTCAAGGGAGGGTACAAGGCGAAGGGACTGTGGGATGGAGTTCCAAAGGGTGAAGGCAGAGAGGCAGAAGGCCTGACAACCGTTGGTGGTGTTGCCCGGGAGTGGGACAAGGAGCAAGCCGCAGCTTGCTGAGCGGAGGGAACGGACAGGTTGATATGGCGTCAATAGGTCACAGAGGTAGGAAGGGTCAAGGCCATGGAGTGCTTTGAAGGTGAGGATGAGCAATTTGAACTCTATCCTCTGTGGGATAGGGAGCCAGTGGAACCAAGCGAGGGAGGGGGTGGTGTGGGAGCCTGGTGTGGGAGAAGACACAAGCTACAGAGTTCTGGATGATCTGCAGCTTGTGGAGGGAAGAGTTGGGAAGGCCGACAAGCAGAAAGTTGGCCTAGTCGAGCCTAGATGTAATAAATGCATGGCTTAAAACGGCAATATTGGTGAATTAAATGTTATCTTGTGGTTCTCATGTTGTTTGACTTCATTCATACAATGCACAATATATTTTATGATTGTATATTGTATGATATGTCATATATCTGCTGCATTGGCTAGGATTTTCCTTATTCCACAAAGTACTAGGTTCAAATTGCATTGATACACATACAGCTGATTTTAAAGCAGTACTAAAAAGTTTGGACTTTTACTTGTTATTAAAATCACAATAGTACACAGCTAAAAGTGTTTGGGATTATATTAGCTGTAGGTTATAAGGCAGTGCACACTAATAATAACTTGAATAATAATCTGTCATTTCATAGAGCATTTGTTTCAACTGTTTCAATAGCAATCTTGTTGCTTTATCATAGAAAAAAATCACAATAACATGGCAATGACTAAAAATTACTGAAAGCAGTAAAGATACCTCCTGCTAAAGTGCCTACATTATGGGGCAATGCAACAGATCCTTTAATACAGCAGTTAAAGAACATTTAAAGAATAGCGTTGGTGTGTTAGATATCTAAAAGAGATCAAGAAAAGCAAATCAGTACGCATCTGCCTTCTTTTGTTATCGCCTTAGAATCATTATCCAGCTCTGCCAGACATTCAGGATGTCTTCCCCAAAGACTTTAATATTACATAACAAACAGAAGATTATTATGGAGTTACTACCACTGACCTTAGCTGTCCTGCCGTGCTCCAGACAGGTCTGAAGTTCAAGTTTATCATTACACGTGGCAACCAGTGGTCTAAGAAAGAAAAGAACATGTTATCAGTTTTGCAATGTGGAGGATTCATGAAACTGCACTGACACATTCTGGCCCCTTTCCTATGAGACAAAACATTATAACTAGGACAAGAACGAAGAACAAACCCTTTTACCTTCTCTGTAATTGTTATTGCCTCCTGGATACAAAGACCTTATTTTGAATTGTGTACTGCCCCAGGACTTAATTCCATACATATGGAGTTAAGTGCAAAAGTTAAGTGCAAAATTGAAAATTTTAAGGTCTCCTAAAGGCCATGAAAAAAAATGTGGATATCAATGGTGGAGTTTTCCTCCATTATTATTCCTGGCCATTACAAAGCACAAATCAACATATGTGTGCTGCTTTGCTTACTTCAGTAAGCTGTGGCAGGGCTGGCTACAGGTTTTAACAATAATTTACATGTATAGCACCTTTCACATTCAGTTTTACTTTCAGAGGATGTCTCAAAGTGCCTCACAAAGCTGACCGTAAACCTAAACTAGTGGGGGTGAATGGTGAGCTGGGATAGGGGGAAGCTGACTGAAAACATGAGCCAAAGGATAGATCTTAAGGTGGGGAGGGAAGAAGTGAGGTGGAGGGACCTTAGGATGGAGTTCCAGAGGGAGAGGCAGAATGGCTGAAAGCTTGTCCATTGATAATAATAATAATCCTTGCATTTGATATAGAGCCTTATCACGTTTTCGAGAAGTCTCAAAGCACTTCACAGAATATACTGTACAGTGAATTGACTATGTTTTGCAGGTGAAACGCGGCAGCCAATTGCTCACAGTAGTGTCCCACAAACAGCTGTGGACTGAGTGACCAATTTTTTTTAAGGAATTATTATGATCCGCCAATTGACGAACAACCGGGTTCCTACTTACTGCTAGGTAAACAGAGGTTTGTGGAGTAAGAAAACTTGCCCAACGTTTTGCCCTGCCGTGAATTGAACCCAGGTCTCTCGCTCTAACCACTGAGTTACAGGACTACAGAGTTCCAGAGAAAGAGGCAGAATGGCTGAAAGCTTGTCCACCAATGGGGAGATAGGAGAGTTTCAGGAGAGGTGCTAAGGCACAAATTCAGAAGACTGATTTAGCTGAGGCTATGGCTCAATGGTAGACTTTGGTGTGGTCCAGCCAAATTTGGCAATGAAGTGTGAAGTCAGATTTAACTTCTGCTTTCAGCATCACAGGCCCTGGACCACAGGGAGTGGAGGTGGCTGTCAAACCACTGAGTCTTGCAGGGGTATGTTTGGGATGTGATAAGAGACAAAGTATTGGAAGATGGAGGTGAGGGAGTTGTGCAGTATGTTGACACAAAGAATGTGGTTGAGGTAGAAGGAGGACAAGAGGCAGGAGGCTTCTGATTTACATTCACTTTAACCCATTGTTTGGCTACTTACAATACGCTTCCTGTCCACTTTAGACAAGAAGCCCATAATATAATAATAATCCTTTTGCAGCCAATTGCGCACAGCAGTGCCCCACAAACAGTCGTGGATTGAGTGACCAAATTATTATTGTTTTTGTTGAGAGATTATTGTCTCCGGAAAAGCGATCCGCCAATCGACTAACAACCAAGTTTCTACTTACTGCTAGGTAAGTTGAGCCGTGTGGAGTAAGAAAATTTACCCAACATTTCACCCTTCCGGGAATTAAACCCAGGTCTCTCGCTTGCGAGGCGAGTGCTCTAACCACTGAACTACAGGACTTCACAAACAAACACATAATCAACACACTCCTACTGAGTTCATCTTATTGTAAGATAAAATATTTGTTTTTGTCCTGTTCACCAAGAGGCCAACCTGGCCTGCAGTCCTCCAAGACACTGTTGGTGATGGACCAGCCAGCCTGTCTTATTGGCAGGATTTGAAAGGGTACACCAAATACTGGAACAGGGATGCTTCCCACTCAGCTCCTATTAAATTTTGCTGAACAAGCAGTGAAGGCTGCTTGCAGTGCTCTCAATGGCAAACACTCAGTTTTAGCTGGTTATACTCCTGCAGTATCCTATGTATACTCTGGGGTCTCCACGAATTGGCTCTCGCCAACCTGCACCTAATATGTTCCAGAAGAAGGTAAGCAGGGTGTATTCTATAGGCTGAGTAATAATCCTTAATAATAATAATCCTTACATTTGATATAGCGCCTTATCACATTGGTGAGAATTCTCAAAGCATTTCATTAAATATATTGTAAAATGTATTTTGTGGGCAAAATGTGGAGCCAATTGTGCACAGCAATGTCCCACAAACAGTCATGGATTGGCTGAACAGATTATTTTTTTTGAGGGATTATTACCCCCGGAAAGCGATTCACCAATCGACTAATAACCGGGTTCCTACTTATTGCTAGGTAAACAAAGGTGTGTGGAGTAAGAAAACTTGCCTAAGGTTTCGCCCCACCCGGGAATCCAACCCGGGTTCTCTCGCTTGCGAGGAGAGCGCACTAACCACTACGCTACAGGACTCCACAGTCCTATAAAAGAGAAATTTCCATGTTTAGGTGGCATGCACATATGGACCTCTCAGTTTGGTTTGCATATTGTTAAGCATGATGACGGGTTGTGCATGTCAAGTCACTTGGCTGATGGAAAAGAAAAAGAAAATTAGCCTAAAATGTAGTGATCTTCCCAGTAACTAGCAAAACATTATTGTAGTGAGTAGTTCAGATTGACTACTGGGACTCTAAATGGGAGTCCAGGTTTAAAAGTTAGATTTACTCTGCTACTGCTATTAATTCTTCTGTACAACAGGAATTCATAATCTTAGCACAACAAACGATGTACCTAACATTTTAAAGGTTAAGCTTTACATTACAATAACAACTTGCGTTTATACAGTGCCCTTCACGCAGGTAGCATCTCAGTTCGCTTAAATTATTCAGATTAATATATATATTATGTGAATATAACATGGAACAAGACCAAAGATACATAAAACAATTATTCTACAATTTGTATACTGATCAAAGAAAGAGATCATGCATACTCCTGAGTACAAACCTGTTAAACAGCTGCACGAAAAGGGATGAATAAGCCTTTTGCATAAATTAATACTTACTATTAGACGATGGTGGATTAAACACCCAAGCTTAACTGAACCACATTTCCCCAAAATTAAATAAGAGCAGCAGTGAACATCACATTTTATAGCTTTTCTCAAGTTATCCTACATGATCCTTTTCCGAAGGACTTACTTACTGTTCGTACGAAAATCCTGACATAGATCAAAGATGGGAGCATTCTGAGATTTTCAGTTCCATAATCTACATTTCAGGATGGCAAAAATCAATATATCTACTTTATTAATCTGCCAATACCATGATCAACAGCCATATCAGGAGAATGACCCAGCAGACAGAATGTGAGATTTTATGGAATTTAGATATTCATAATGTAATAACATTGTTATGCGCAGTTATCTTCAAGAGACTTCACTTTAGGACACAAAATGGTTCAGATCAAAATGGCAGATGCTGGGGTCAATATTTTTCAGGACATCTGAAGAATTTGGAAGATACTGAATATTTCTTCAATTTAATTACAGATTGGCAAAAAGGTGCATTTATCTCCATATTTCCAGGATTCATCATTAACTTCTCATCTTCTTTCCCTATACTGTACTGATGGATACCAATCAACAAAACGGCTGTTGGTGAAAAGGTGGAACCAATTTTTGATGATGAAGGTGATGGACTGGGTAAGTGGGAGAAGTGGCATTTCAAAATGAGACTAATCAGATGAGCCATATGATCTTTTTAGGTCTTTCGCATGGCCAAATTCCTGTGTAACTAAGAGTAGATGCTTAACAGCAGGTGTTTTGTAGCTTATGCCTTGCCCTCGGGAGCTAAGAAAACAGGAGGCATAAAAATATACTGTATTATGCCCTTCTAAAATTTATGTGGAGTTCATCTTCTTTCCTACTGCAAATGACTGAATACATGACAAACATGTGTACTGTAATTGGAGCATGGTAAATTAGAAATGGGAAAGGGGGTGTATAGACCTAAATTGCAGTTCAATTCACAAATGATGTTTTGGGGTTTATATGACACAACACTGTTGCACTGATTCTGAATTACTTATTCAGGAATTCCAGATGACATTTCAGATCTATTTTTAAATTCATTTGCAAGTTATACATTCAAAATTTCAATACTTATATAATCATGTAGTGTTGCTAAAATATGCTTCTCTGTTATTGTTACCACAATTTGGGTGTAAACTATTTTTGAGCTGAAAATCAGCCAAGAAATGAAAGGCATTTACAAACACTTTATGCGGAGGTTCTTCTGCTTTACGCCTCACTCTGACAGCTGCCTGAGATTGTGGAATCACAGCCATGTATCTTTCTACTCTGTGACTTAGTAATTTGGTGCATTGATAAGTTGTTCTCTCCACTGGAGAATGAATGAGAATCAAATTTAAAACTATTGAAGAGAAAGTAAAATGTCAGTGATAACCGGTTCAAATTCATATGAGCAACCTAGTTACTAGCCAGTGATGAAGGAAGTAGAGACAGTGCATGTCGAGTGCAGAAGTATGCAGCAAATGTCTACGAATGACTGACAAAGAGCAGATGGATGACAGATACAGAAGGCTAATCTCAGGCTTGTTTGTTTTTTTGCAGCAAGGAGGAGTAATACTGAAAAACACAGGATAAAAACTGTACATTGACCTCCATATATGGTTTACTTCATGATTATTATGTGGTAATAGATATCCTTTGACAAATAAAGCATAATTATGAGTTATTTAGCTTGTGTGCCTCCTCTGCTTACAGAAGGAAGGGCTATGCCATCTGTTCACAGGGCTATGGCTAAGTCAGTTTCAATATTTGCCAACAGCTTTATTCATAGTAATTATCAGGGTTACTCACAAGCTTTTGGGACTGGCATTATATCTATTTAAATAGCAAATGGATTTTGCTTGTAGGAATTTTATGTAATTTCCATTGGTTTCAAATGCTTTACTGTATATTATTCCCAAAGCAATAACTAATTTTGTATGTTTGTCCAATAATAATATGACTATTCCACACATAGGTGTGTGGTTAATATTATCACAGTATCATATGACTTGTCTTATTGAAAGAATTTTGAAATACTCAGCTGCTCACTTAAAGAGGGGAATGTTGGCTTAAGGAGGCATTTGAACAATCTAAAATAGGAAACAGCTTATGTTCCTGCTAACAAGCATGTTCTCAAACTCCCAGGTGAACTCTCCCTGTGGAATGCATGTTCTAGAGCTGTCAGGTGAATATATCACATGGCTGATACTGGTTTGTAAAAAATACATTTCTTAATCAGTTGTATCCAAACTGCTGCTTCCTGATAGTCCCTCTCCTGTTAGTGTTGTCAACTTATTCACACTTTGCTTCAGAACGAGAGTTTCCCTGGCAACTGAAGAGGAACCATTTGGTAGGAAATTCAATCGGGAACATGTGAAATCTTTTAAAAGACTGCATATAGAATACAAGGTGTTAAAGCAATTTACATTGTCACTCTCGGGAACTGAGAAGTTTCATCTTTATAAGGGATCTTTCTCAATTTGTCCAGTGTGATCTTGTTAAGAGAAATTTTCTTGTATCTCTACTGGGTTTGGATTCATTTCCATTGGCTTGCCCCTTCTTTAAAAAGGATAATTGACACCTAGAATGGATCAATTGCCAGAAAAGATGATAGAGGCTAGGCTATGATGCTGGACTCATTTAATAAACTCATTTAAATTGCTACAGTGTATTCTGGGAGAATTAGATCAAATGGACGAAAGATCCTTCTTCATTTGTATCTTTCTATTATTATTACCTCAGGTCATTGTTATGAACTTCATGAATTGCAGCTAAAACTTTAACTAAAGTGTATGTTTAGGAGCATGTGCATGTTTCTCAGTTACATGGTGTATTTGGAATATTTTGTTAGATGTAGGATCCATGAGCACATAATTCTGGAAGCCTGTAAGATACTCATCTAAATGGCGAAGTTCAGAAGATGCCAACCTTTCATGCTGTTTGACGCCATCTATAATTAGGGCATGGTATTCAAACTAAACCCTCTTGAAGCCAAACTTAGAAGTTGTTCATTTTCTGATTACCAACCAGGGATCAATTGGAATCTAAGTCTCTGACTGGAAGCCATGTCTCTGAGGGTTGGGGTTAGCAGATAGCTCAGGAGAATGGTGAAACCTGTCTATTTAGAAGATCATAGAGCTTTTTAAGTGAATACCCAGCAAGTTCGATAAAAGGTTTCAAAAGGGAATTGGATAGGTACTTGAAAAGGAAAAATCTGCAGGGCTCTGGGGTACAAATGGCAGAGTGGGACAAATTGGATTCAAAGAGCCATGCAGGCATAATGGGCCAAATGGCCTCCTTCTGTGCTGTAACATTCTATGATCTGCCAGGAATTTAATCAGGGAGCAAACCATATGGGGGGGAAAAAATGGGAAACAAAACCAACAACACTATTTAAAGATATAAAAATGTTTTTTTTAAGTTTTTCAATGCCTCTTGAGTATTGTATCTGCCTACCAGACAAGGACTAGTTTCAGTAAATTTTACCAGATGGAAAATAATGGAGAAGTGAAGAGGAATGGGAAGCTAATTGTTGTTAATTAGGAAGAACAACAATATAACCCAGCACTGTACCTGCTACCATACAGCATGTTTTGAAGATATCAATAACTTAGGACGACTCTCCCTTTGTTATGGAAAGCAATTGTGCAAAGGATACAAAAAATAATAATTCTGGGATAAATATAGGGTATAAGAATGTTTATCCCTAGTAAAGGAATGCTAACAGCATGAGGTTCCCGTCTACGGGTGTTGCTGGCAACTTGAAAAGGCTGCCGAGTCTTACTCATCAAACTGTCCACTGGCTAATTCTCAATATGGTTCCCTCACCATTCTTTCACCGACCTGTTCATACCAGGAAGGTTACCCCAGAAGTAACGGGCTCGATGGGCAGCAGACACTTCCTTGGCATCAATCATCACAGGATTACACTGCCAGAAAAAGAGGAAAGAGATGAAGTTTATTCATTTCATAAATCTAGTCAAATGTCACCTTTTGAATGGAATCTTTTCCACTTCTATTCCAACATGAAGATTATTTTGCACCATGCATCATTCTTCAGTGGAATCCAGTTCTCAATGGATTATCAATCCACTCCCTAACAAATGTTATGTAAGAGCACATGTTTCTGTTTTCCTTACTTCCATGTGAGGAAATGTTTGTTAACTCAGACCATTCCACAAACATAATACTGTTTAGTGTAAGTCAAGTATATTGCTGCATACACTTATTGCAGCACTTTGATGTTCTAGAAAGAATTATCTTAATTTTCATCAATCATTTTTATGTGAACATCTTGACAAACAAATGATTGTGGTACAAGCTAGGAGGAAGCCTATAAAATTTGTTTGACACTTTAATGTAACTATTAAAATTGTCTGATAAATAATTTGAATTCTGCAACTCTCTTTAAATACTCAGTAGAAAAGCCTGTTGCTCTTTCTTCGTTTCAATGTGATCTGGAGTTATTTACTGAGAATTCAAAGAGAGTTGCAAACAATGAAGTTGGTAAGACCAGCACCAAGTATTTCTAATATTTTCTTAGATAAGGTTATAATCTTTAAAGCACTTCCCCCCGGAGGACATTCTTGGAATCACTGATGATCTGCTTACTAGTCTGTGCTTTATGTGAATTTTCATAAAGAATATCATTCAGTGTAGTCTCGGCAAGGTACATGTATGAATGGGCAATTTGCAAACAACACAAGTTGTGCTTGAGATATAATCAGCAGAGCAGGTCGTCGGACATTTCTCTGATACTGTTGTATTAAATATTTCTTTACAAGTGGCAAAAGAAGACAGCGCTCATTTGATATCAGTATTTTGGACTGAGCCATCCATCACCCCAATCATCAGTCTCTGCATATAGAATTTAATGAGTATGCTTTACAGCACTGAGGGAAAATACACACAACTCATGGGTAAAATTAGGCAACACAGTGTCAACTTGTAAAGCAAGCAGCCTAGTATGTAATATTTTGTTTGATCATCAATGGTTTGTATCTTGTTAAATACAGAAACCATATCCTGTGAAGCACTTTGAAACAATTTGATGACATAATAAGGTGCTATATCAAATGCAGGAAGTATTATTTATTATTACACAGTAGTAACACTGTTTGCACCCATCATCTTAGTAGCATTACATGAATTATTGTTTTTTGCTTTAAAATATAATTTGACAGGAGGGTGTTGTTGTTTTGACAGAAGATGGGAATATTTCCTGGAACATAACAACAGAATCATGTACATTTATAACACAGAAGAAGGCTATTTGGTTCATTGTATCTGTGTTGGCTCTTTGAAAGAGCAGTCCATTCAATTCCATTTACCTCCTTTTTTCCATACCCCTGAAAATGATTTCTTTTTAAGATATATATCTCGCTCCCTCTTTAAAGGTAATATATGTATAGATTTTTAAATGACCACTTCATTTGCCAGGGCATTTCACATTCTAACAGCTCTTTGTTTAAAACATTCCTCCTATCTCTCCCTTTGCTCCCTTGTTAATTACCTGAAATTGATGCCCCTCTGGCCACTAACTCACTGAGTGAACATAATTTCTCTTTACCAACTCTTATTAAAACCCCTTGTAATTTTAAAGACATCTATCATGTCTTTCCTCAACCTTCTCTGTTCCAATGAAAAGAGGCCCAGATCCTCTAGTCTCTGTTTATGGGTCCAACCACTTATTCTTAGTATCAGTCTGCTAAATCTCTTCACCATCTCTAAAGCCCTGGGATACTTCCAAGTGGAGGTGACCAAAACTGGACACAATAAATGCAGTATAATTAATGATTTATGCAAGTTAGGCATCATATGGAATATAAATACTCAATGAAGCACAGAACTTACCTTTTGAAGCTTAAAAATAACCATCTCACCTACAGAGCATTTCTCATCCTAACAGCTCTTTATTCAAAACATTCCGACTAATCTTGTTTGACCCACAACTATTCTTTCTACCCGATATCCGTGCCATATCCCACTCTGCCTTTCCTCACCTCCGCAATATCGCCCAAGCTCCGCCACTGTCTCACACCACAGGCCGCCGAGACCCTCATACATGCTTTCATTACATCCAGGCTCGACTACACAAACTCTCTGCTTGTCGGTCTCCCCAACTCCTCCCTCCATAGGCTGGCGATCATCCAGAACTCTGATGCCCGTATCCTCTCCCGCACCAGGCTCCGCAACCCTATCACCCCCATCCTCGCCCGACTCCACTGGCTTCCCATCACACAGTGGATACAGTTCAAGATCCTAGTCCTCACCTCCATGGTCTTGCTCCTCTCTGCCTCTGTGACCTTCTAATCCCCTACCAACGTGCCTGCTTCTTCCGCTCAGCGGTCTCCGGCCTGCTTCACGTCCCCCGCCTTGCTCGCCTCACCATTGGCGGGTGGCCCTTCTACCACTCTGCCCCCCCCTCTGGAACTCCATACCGCAGTCCCTCTGCCTCACCCCCTCCCTTGCCTCCTTCAAGACCCGTCTGAAGATCCTCCTCTTCAACCGTGCCTTTGGTCACCCTCCTTCCCCCCTTGCCCTCCACCATCCCTGATCCGAACCCCCAGCTCAGGTCCAAAACACTGATTATCCGGGGCCTTGGGACGTCCTCCTGACGTGAAAGGTGTTATGCAAATTTAATTTTGCTGTTGTTGTTAATCTTTCCATTTGCTTCCTTGATTAAAAATTGGGGATAGAGTTCATGTTAGACAGATTGAACATTGTCTGTGTGGAAGAAGTAGGCTTGATCTGCCAAATTGGCTTTTCTTGTCGACATTTTCTTAAAATTCTTAGAACTGCCGATTTACTGACTGCATTGATTTTTTTGTTTTCCCTGGTATATCTTTTGAGTGAAATGTGCTAGCATCAAGTTTCCACAGATTTTCCTGACAATTGTCAGTTGGAGGCCAATATCTTCAATGCCAAAGACATGGATTCTTGTCTTCAGGGGTTTTCAGTCTTCTGCGTCTCTTGTTGGCCAGATTGTGTAGCCTCCAGTATACTCCAGCACTCTGAAGATCCTGGACACTTTGATACTGAACATTAATGATGTAAATTAACATACCTGCCATAATTTAAAGAGGGATGATTAAAAAAAAGGTAAACATTACATGGATGAGATTGTTAGCGCTTGTTTTTGTGGGATATGGATACTTGCATTCTGCGTATGCATAGGGCTTGAAATATTCATGGGATTGGGGAGATACTCTCGTAAATGAGAAATAATATCATATTTTCCTGTGACATCAAGCTCAGATATAAATGGCTTTAGGCCGCATTTGCAGACCTGTGTGGTGCATCTTCACTTGCCAAAAGCAAGTTTAAGGGTACATTTCAATGTAAAGAAGCTGGAAGGTTTAGTGAGGAGAATCTTAAACCATGTAATAGGACTCGCACAGCGCTGACCATGGCTCTCAAGTTTTATGGCACAGGTGTCTTCTTGGAGACGGTGCTTATGTCCTCAAGGCATGGCTCCTAACCACTGTGTGAAATCATGTACCCAGGACGATAAACTGTACAATGCTTTGCATATTTTCATATAGGTGATCACTGATGACATCTTTGAGGTCTTGAAACAAATCAATTGTTTAAATCAATCGGGTGGTTATTTGCACTACAAGCCTAAGAAAGTCTGTAAAATAATTATAGTCTTTTCCATAACATTGCAAAGGAGAATGACATTCCTAACCCAGGAAATCTAGATAAACACCAACATATTTTGTTTCAGTGGGAGGCAGGAGAAGATGAAGCCTCTGATGAGTAGGATGACAGTCATTCAACAGGCAGAGCTGTTTGACAGTGGTATGATCAGCAACAACCCATTGAGAGCAATGTCCACGGCATCCTATGCACGATTGCTATTGGGAGGGTGAGGATACTTTACTATTGTGAGTGTGGAGCAGGTAGTGTTATGGGAAGGTGTTTGGAAGGCATGTTTATTTACTCTTGAATATTTCTTCTTATAATAATAATAATCCTTGCATTTGATATAGCGCTTTTCACGTCAGGAGGACGTCCCAAAGCGCTTCACAGAACACACTGTAAAGTGAATTGACTGTATATTTGTGGGCGAACGCGGCAGCCAATTGCGCACAGCAATGTCCCACAAACAGTCGTAGATTGAAAATTACCAATTTTATTATTGTTTTGGGTTTTGGAGGGATTATTATTAGACGTGTGGAGTAAGGAAACTTGCTCAAGGTTTCGCCCTGCCTGGAATTGAACTCAGGTCTCTCACTTGCAAAGCGAGTGCTCTAACCACTGAGCTACAGGACTTGGGGATGTTCTTGAAAAGTTTCAAGACAATTCAAATGTTACACAAATTATTTTATATCAAATTAATAAAATTCAAAAAACAAACTATATATATTAACATTTCCTATCTGTGCATCTATACTCTGTGTGCTATGGTGTGTACTTGCTTTTTCCAACTCTGTTTGCAAGCCTGTGCATCTAACTATTGTGTGAGAGAGACAGAAAGTGATTTTTTCAATGGTCTTTCCCTTGGAGGAAAGGGGATGTGAGAAAGAGGCTGAAAAGAGCAGCCTTTCCTGCTGGTAACTTGACCTCCCCAGGAGCTTGTGCACATAGGTAGGTCCCTTTCAATGGATGCAAAGGTGGTCCGGGGATATTTGAAGCCTCCAATGTACTGTAAAGATTGAGCCTCCAGCGTACTGTAAAGATGCTGTGCAGCCTCCAGCATACTGTGAAGATATGTTCACAATGCCCTTGTCTCTTCTCAGTCTCCTCCATCATGTTGAATGGAACATGTTGCCTACTAGGCCAACTACTCAGCAGCAGATTTTCCTCCATCAGAGTTTTAGAAACCTGAGGAAAAGGATGAGTCTCTAAAGGCAGTAGTGCTAGGATGTTTTCTATTCAACCTTTCTTGTGTCACATCAGGTCTGCTTCCTCAAAGAGATTGGTGAAGATTCTCTAGACAGAGGTTCAAGGCTAAGATGCCTCCAACTGCCCCCTCCTCTGCCATGATCTGGTATTCCACCAATGAATATTTTTTCTTAGGAATATATATGGTGATTCCTAAGGTGATTTGTAGTGTACCTTCATTCCTGTACTTCTTACTCAACTCAGGCTCCTTGGGTATTCCCTTGAGGAGTTCTGTATTGATGATAGATGGAATCATTTAATAATAATCCTTGCATTTGATATAGAGTCTTATCACGTCATTGAAACATCTCAAAGCGCTTCACAGAAGCTTTTTCCATCAATAGTTTTTCTTCAATAAATTTGCCCCCAACTGTCCCCTTTCTTGTTTGTGAACTTATTCTGCAAAACAATAATACAAACATAATATTAGCCATTGATTTTATCACCAGTAACTTGACTTCCAATTCCAAAGCTTAGAATAATTGTCTTACCGTGGAACTTCTGCTGTCACTGAACTTTTTCTGGATCAAGTGATTCAAAGGTTTTGTCCACAGTATTCATCCCCGCTATCTCCGCCATTGTGTTCTCCGAGCTTGGTGTCTGGAGGTGGGAGTTGCAGCCCTGAAGCACAGCTTTTGGTTGTTCGCCAAGCACTGGATATGGACAACCTGGGCATCCTCTGAACAGCGACCTTTGCTCTTTGATGGGCTTGGCTTCTCCTTGGCTCCTCAGCCAATTCCTTCTTCCATTGAAACCATTGTATATAGATGTGAAATAACTTTAACACCTCCAGTCATATCATCTTGTTGTCTTTGCAAAGCTAAAGTGGGAGCCTCATTCTAAAAATGGCTTCAGATTGATTATGGTCAATACCTCTTTGCAGTGCCTGATCCACTTTGTTAATAATTCGACAGGTAAGAGTATAGTGTTTATTTCACTAATATCAACTATATATATATGACAAACAGTAAAGTTCAACAATCTACAATCAAACCAGTATATCAACACAATAGTCCACAACATACAACAACACGGATATACAAACCAAATATTAGAGAAACAACAGCAGGCACTCAGGAATTGCTCAGTATTCCAGACAAAACAATACGCCCGAGAAATAACCTCAACATACACAGCAGAGATCAGCCCCTGGAAATCCCTCAGGGACAAGTGATTCTGTAATAAAAAACTTAATAGGGACTGGCGCTCGGTAAACCCTCGGACACAACCAATCTATAAAAACAATACTTAGTCACAGAACTATCACACAGAATCACAGGGAGTGGCTCCTGTAAACTCCACAAAAACAATCAGCTTTTAGCCCTGCACCTCCCTCGTGCTGCCTAACCTGACTTCTGTGTTGGTGTTTCAAACGGACCAACCACCACTACTCTTATCACTTCTCTGCCTAGCAAACAGAACCAAAAATATATTACCCGTTCCCGATGTATGGACAACAATGGCAGGAGGGAGACTTTCACTTCTCAACTTAGGATGCTTCCCCAACTGTTGTGTTCCAAGCATTCCATTCTCACTAATGTATCCAGTACAGACAGTTCCTCCATTTGTTGCTATTCTGCCCTATCTTCTAGGTCCAGCTCCCTTCTTACCTCATGACAGGCAAGGCCTTGAGCAACATTTCTGCCAATGTACCAATTGATACTGGCTATCAATCATATTCATTGCGTTAAAGTCCAGTGTGTTTACAGCAGCTGGCACCAAGGTGACTGCCTCTCTTTTGCTGACAGAGCCAGTCTCCGCAATTCTGTGGTTACAACGATTTCTAAAAACACTTAATACATAATCATATATCATATATGCATATTCGCTCTATAGATATATAGTAATCAAAAGAACACATTTTGATAAAACCTATACTAACATTCCTCACCTTGAGGGGAAGATACCCAAGTATTGACCCCTCATTTACGCATTAGAAACGCCAAATCTATTTGGGACCATCGAAGTTGTAGCTTGTGAACCATATGATGAACCATCGAACCGTTCAAATTAACATTACTGTTTCTATGACTTGGACCAAAATGAAAGTGTAAGGCTAGGCGAGCTGGGGGGGGGGGGGGGGGGGGAGTTGTCTGACATTGTAAACCACCTGCCACCAATGATGATCCCCCAAGTAGTTGACTGAATGATTGATGGCCTGGTTTTGTTGTTGCATGCGGATGTGATGTTTCTGAGAGGTTAGATCACGTTGCAAGACTTAGGATCAGAGGTGTGATTGGGTGTCCGAATCGGGCAATCGCCTCCAGGGCCTCTCGATGGAGATCGGAATGTAATTGGACTTGGGTCATATCATGAACAACTTTATGATCTATGTGATATGCTGCTATTCTTACCAGGAAGGTAGGAAAGAAACAGGCTGAAGTATATGCTAGGGGGCATTCTTGTGTCCCCATCTGAAAGGTGGCCTCTGATGGTGTATAACAGTATTTTCCCAGACCCTTGTATGATACCGCCATCCCTGACCAATGTGACACAATGGACATCTCGCACTCCGTGGAGAGCAATGGCAGCATAAACCCACATAACATGGCAGCATCCTCTGGTGGGCAAGCCCTGGTGTCACACCATTGGCCGCAGTTGGTTAATCTTACCCCTTTCCAGTGGGGTGCATTTAAATGCGTTATGTACGGGGGATATCAGGTGTACTGGACCCAGTGTGCTCCTCGAACTACCCCTACCAACATGACTTTGAACAATGGAGAAGGGACTAATGATCGGAACCGGGGAACCTGTAGCAATAGTCCAATATTCCTCAATGATGGAGAGCGAAGACACTCGTGAGGTAACCGGATTCACTTGGGTAAATTGACGTATCAGACAAAGGTTAGTTTCTCTGGGTACCAGTTCTTCCAATTGTGTTGGAGAACTAAGAGGGGAGTCAACCTTGTATTGAGTGAAATGAGGAGTGAACCATCTGCTGAAGATAAGATACATATAAGGCGTACGTAACTGCTTGCGAGGCAGTAACCGGCCAGTTATCTTAATGACTTGCATTTATATAATGCCCTTCATGGGAGGTAGTATCTTGCAACGCTTAAAGGTAAGGGAACTGTGATCCCTTTGGTGTGCGTGTTCTCTACATTTGGTTTTCCTGAACTGTTGGTGTTGGACCAAGTAAAGTCATGTTTGTTCACCAACTGTGGTTGACTTTGACCTCTTCTTCTGCGATACCCACCATGCCCTCTACAATAAGGCTGACTCCAGTGCTGGTCATCATGCACAATATTCCACACAAGGATAGTCTTGCAACCTACTTCCAGGCTTCTGCCATGCTGCTGTGTAACTGGCAGTTGGAAGGTATGGGACTGTGGGTTGGGATGAGTTGCTCTTTGATTTCAGTCATTTGCACATTATATTTGTTGTTTAATAGTAAACTGATTCATATTTTTCAAATAAAAAACTCTTACACAGCTGCAGTGAAAATGTTAGAATCGAGTTTTTTGGGGCCTGCCGACTATAGAAATTCTGATGTCATGACTTTTAATTTTCCAAGATTTAAGATGTTTGAGGAAACAGCATTTACATTCAACTTTGTTTTCTGATTTTTAGGAAACTCACCTCTAGAAAACGTGAGATGTCCCTCTTGTCACTGACACCCATTGCCACCACATTTTCAAACAGCCAGAAGAATGGCCTGTTGTCTCCTTCTTTTGGTCTTGTTTCATGGAGAAGACGGTAGAACTCAAAAAACAGACGTCCTGTGCCCTCTGTAAAGTGAATGTACCAGTAACAGTGAAAGCTGCCCTTTTGGGCAAACCTAAACCAATAATCACTTAGACAAGTAACATTCCATGACTGACTAGATTGGCCACAATCTATTCCTGTACGTGCCCATGTTCCTGTAATCAAACACGTTTCTTATAAAACCATTTACTATTGACAGCGTGACTCCAGATAAGAACATTTTTATATAATGTGAATGAACATTTCATTTTCAAAAGTGAACATTTTCTATGATTAATATGAAATTCCCATACCTCAAGACTCTTAAAAGCCAGAAGTCTCATGACAGCCTGTACTTTAACTTCTATTTATTATGGTTTAGATTATTGATATGTCACTCCTGGGCCCTGAATAAAGACTGAATTAGACTGGTGGGAGAAAGACTCCACCAGAGTCTAAAGTAAATAAAAACAAAAAAACCCACCAGGATCAGGACTGCCCTGGGGCAACCCTCTTTCCATTGTTACAAAAGTCAGTGTCCCAGTGATCAGATCATCCCACTCATTGAGCAAGAGTGTGTGGTGACTCTATCAATTCACTTACCAAACAGCCCCTTCCTGGCAGGATTCACTATCGAAAGGTCATTGCATGGACTTCCTCCAATCACTAGATCAAATGGGCCCCAGTCCTTTATCTGATGGAATAAATGATTTTTAGATAATTTCAAACCATGATTATCTAGTTTTAACATTAGACTACTAAACGTAACTACGCAAATGATTTCCTGAGTCTGTTTTATTTTAAGATCCAAGAATCTCTGGAACCTAAATACAGTATAGTTAACAATTTTTGTTTTCTTTTGGAATTTTAAAAATAAAGTGCTCATCATGTGGACTACGTGCTGGAACTCAAATATCTTGTACCTTGGAGTACAGTAGTGTGATATGTGTTCATGCTATTCCGCAAATCCCTACATTCTAGCCATAGCTCACGACAAGTAGACATCAAAAAAAGAGAGGAAAAACTGAGGCTATTTCAAAAGTAGATGCTCTTGTAAATCCTTCTGTACGATTTTGAGTGAAGAAAGGGCAAGGCTTGGTTGTGATGGCTAGCCACCTTGAGTCAAATAGCCATCACCAAATTCTAACAATGCAGTGAACCTGATCTTTAGATTATAAATAATATGTGATTGAGTGAGGGGAGTGGGGCAATAATGTTTATCTGGCATTACCTGCTGATACTCCAGTGTTCTCCCAAGCAATGGTCAAACAAGATGTCAGGTAAAAGGCGCAATTTTGCTTAATATCTGCATATTTCTCTGCCCACAAAACAAAATACTGTTCTTAGGTGGCAAGTAATTTGTTGATAATGTATCAATAAGTCCATTGTAACTCCTCCTGCAGAAATCATATTTATGTTATATTTGCTAATGTTTAAAGATACAATGGTAATCTTCTTGGACTGAAGGTTGCTTGTTTTTTTGGCTACATTAAAGGGCAGTCTCACAGTGGTGTGTGGAACTTAAAAGAAAAAAAGCCAAGTTTGTTTCTCCCATTGGAAGGGGCATGAGATATTAATGTGTATTATTAATGTGTGGAGTCCTGTAGCTCAGTGGTTAGAGCACTCGCTTTGCAAGTGAGAGACCTGAGTTCAATTCCAGGCAGAGGGCGAAACCTTGGGCAAGTTTCCTTACTCCACACGCCTAATAATAATCCCTCCAAAACAAAAACAATAATAAATTGGTCATTTTCAATCTACGACTGTTTGTGGGACATTGCTGTGCGCAATTGGCTGCCGCGTTCGCCCACAAATATACAGTCAATTCACTTTACAGTCTATTCTGTGAAGCGCTTTGGGACGTCCTCCCGACGTGAAAAGCGCTATATCAAATGCAAGGATTATTATTATATTATTATTATTATTATTATAACCTCCATGGAGGGGTGGGAATAACAATATTCCAGTAACAACATCTCCCTAGAGTTGCCAACATCACTTTACAATTTTGCTGTTACTAGGACTCATGGCTAACCACAGATTCTTCAACATCTGAAGGTTGCCTGTGGCATGTACTCCCCCACCCCCAGGTAAATCTATCCAGCAGTGAATGATGAAGGATCACGCATCAAAAGAATGTTGGTTTTGACAAACAAGGAATCAGTTTTCACTAGGGATGCCACTTACATTGATCTTAAGAGCAATAATACAATTTTGGCACATGTCTGACCTTTAAAATGTCAAGAAACCGCTTTGGTACATGACAGAGAGGGAATTGCATTGAGCATACCTCCAGATAATGACTACATTTATGTCAAATTCAACTGGCTACATTTGGCATTGATCTATGGTCCAAGTGTTAGAAGATATCTATTTGCAATAAGACAATTATAAATTATGACATGTTAAACAGCAAAATGGGGAAGTTCAATTATTTGCCTATTACTTATGCCCATTACTTTTTCAATGCACAAAAGGAATGTGCCAACAAAGCCAGAGGTATGTAATGACTAAAGGAATAGCTTCCCATTGGCCATTTATCTTGCATCTCTGTAGAAATAGGGTCGAGTTCTTGGATCCTTTATCATGTCAATAAAGCCACAGGGCATATCCTGATAACCAAATTTGAACCATATGAACCAAATTCGAAAGCCAAATAAACGTTATGCTTGTTTTACACTGTTTTTGATATCTCTTCCATTAGTAGAATGGTTTGGAGTGTAAAAACAGCTTCATAGAACCGGATTCAAATCACTATCACTGAGGGCTAAGGAGAGTTTTCCGAATAAGCGTATAAGCAGAGCACCGCTAACTAGTGGACCACCAAGTAGTGGGAAGGAGATAGATAAGCAAACCTACAAGCAGATTTCAGAAAGATGCAAAACCAATAGATGAGTGATAATGGGGGACTTCAATTATCCTAACTTAGACTGGCAAAATAACAGTGTAAAGGGCAAGGAGGGGACAGGATTCCTGAAATGTATGCAGGATAACTTTCTGGATCAGTATGTTTCCAGTTCAATGAGAAAACCCGGGAACTACAGGCCAGTCAGCCTAACGTCAGCAGTGGGGAAATTTCTAAAGACTATAATCCGGGACAAAATAAATTTTTACTTAGAAAAATATGGGTTAATAAAGGACATCCAACATGGATTTGTTAAACACAAATCATGTCTAACAAACTCGATAAGAGTTTTTTGATGAAATAACGGAGAGGGTGGGTGATGGTAGTGCATATAAATGTCGTTTAAATGGATTTTCAAAAGGTGTTTGATAAAGTGCCACATAAGAGCCTTGTAAGCAAAACAGAAGGCCACGGTATTAAAGGGACAGTGGAAGCATGGAGACAGAACTGGATGGGAAACAGAACTGGATGGGAGACAAAACTGGATAGGAGACAGACAGCAGAGAGTGGTGATGAACAGTTGTTTTTCTGACTGGAGGGAAGTGTGCAGTGGTGTCCCCCAGGGGTCAGTATTGGGACCACTGCTGTTTTTGATCTACATAAACGACCTGGATTTGGGTATCAGGAATACAATTTCCAAGTTTGCAGATGATACTAAGCTAGGAAACGTAGTAAACAGTGAGGAGGATGGTAGAAGACTGCAAATGGACATAGACAGACTGGTAAAATGGGCAGATACGTGGCAGATGAAGTTTAATGTGGAGAAATGCGAAGTCATGCATTTTGGGAGGAAGAATGAGGAGAGGCAATATAAGCTGATGGTACAATCTTAAAGAGGGTGAAGGACAGAGAGACCTGGGGTTCATATAAGTGAATCTTTAAAGGTGGAAGGACAGGTAGATAAAGCTGTTAAAAAAGCATACAGGATACTAGACTTGATAAATAATGGCATAGAAAACACAAGTCAGGAAGTTATGATAAACCAATATAAAACCTTGGTTAAGCCTCAGCTAGAGTACTGTGTTCAGTTTAGGCACCACACTTTAGGAAGGATGTCAAGGCATTGGAGAAGGTGCAAAGGAGATTTACCAGGATGGTACCAGGAATGAGGGACTTCAGCTATCAGGAGAGGCTAGAGAAGCTCGGATTATTGTCCTGGAGCAGAGAAGGTTAAGTGGAGACTTAATAGTAGTTTTCAAAATTATGAGGGGATTCGATAGGATGAACGAAGAGAAACTATTTCCACTGGTGGGTGGGTTGGTAACCCGAGGACACAGATTTAAAGTAGTTGTTAAAAGAAACAGAGAGGAGGTGAGGAGAAATGTTTTCACACACCGAGTTATTCGGATCTAGAATACATTGCCTGAAAGGTTGATGGAAGCTGATTCGATAACAACTTTTAAGAGAAGTAGATAATTATTTGGGGAGGACAAGTTTGAAGTGCTATCAGGAGAGAGCGGGGGAGTGAGATTGAATTGGATAGCTCTTTTCAAAGAACTGGCACAGACACGATGGGCTGAATGGCCTCCTTCTGTGCTGTATGATTCTATGAACTATCTCTGAATGCCGATTCAATTTTTAATGTTATTAAAAAGTTTGGAATGCAAATGGTTTCTTTATAACATTACAGGGTTACTGGTGTTCCAAATCATTCCCATTTGTTGAAATTAGTTACTGCACTTAAACTGCGGTCAATGGTATTAATTCCACTCTGAAGCTATCTCCTGGAGAAATAGACTAATTTATCCTGTTGTTTAGATTTATACTGTTCTTTAGCATTTGAATTAGTCCTAATGTACGATAAGGCTTAAGGTTACATTGATTCATGGCTGAATGACGGGGTGGGGGAGAATTTGGATCTAAAATCTGGCTTCATTTGACTTCTTATTCCTTACTGCAAATAAAATGTTCCAGTTGTTCCTTGCTAAGCCAATATATAGAGCTGCCTGGGATAGGCAAGGGAATAAAATGTCGCTCCTGCATCATCTTGGAGCCAAGGCCTGTTGACTAAGTCCAGAGCAGAATCAGGAGCTAAATCTCGAGATGGCTTTGTCAACCTCAAAAACACAGAAGAGGCTTTGGGAAGACAATGTGGAAGTAACAAAAGGAAGGGGGTGTCCAAATAAAATTTAAAAAAAGTTTGGAACTAAGCTCAGATGACAAAATTGGAATATATGTCAAAACCAATTCTATTTAATCAACGAAGACCTTCAGTAGCCACCATTCATTTACCGAGTATTTATCAACATCAAATTTACTTCTTCCAGATTCTGACAGGTGGAATCAATATTCGAAAGTTCTCACGTACATGTTTGCGAGTAACATTTCGAACATCTCCCACATACATGATCTTCCCCTGGTGTCGGACCATACCCACTGTGATGGAATCCTCACAGACCTCGGAGGCAATGTAGCGTTCAACATGGATCCCAAGATCCTTTAGAACTAGCAGCCCTGCAAATAGACAAATGCTGTTTAACCTGTAAAGAACAATAAGGTGCAGCCTACCATTTAACTCATCCTTAGATTCACAGTAATATAATGACACTCGCTCAAAACTCCTGATAAACTCGTAAAGATTTTGCCAAGAATGTTTAAGGTTGAATCAACCTTTTCAAAGACCACAGGCATACAATTGATGCCTCGGAACTCTTACTCTTCTTTCAACAACTGCAATATTATATTTCAAAACATTTGACCATTATGTTAAACATATAATATAGCAAAAGGATCTTTCATAAGGACATTTGTAATGTGAAAAAAACCTTCTGTTTTGAGGTTAAAAGTAATGGATAGACACGATTCAGGAAGTTGCACATTGAAATCGCATCATTGGGTAATCTCTGGTTCAGGATTTATTTATTGCATGTATACCATAATTCCTGGAATACAAATTGGATATAGTTGTGAATAGATTAAGATTTTATGATCAGATCAGACTTTAGATTTGTATAATTGAGCTGCTTTCTTTTTAACATGGCTCTGCTTTTTGAGTAGCAACATAACAATTGAATTAGGATCACTTCATTTCGGTACTGCTTACATCAGAATAAAACAACTTCCTAAATTGCTGTCCTATCCATAACATTAACTTTAAAAACGGGCAAACCTATTAACTTCAGGGGAAAAGGAAATAACAAACACAAAAACTATTAAATGAAACCAATTATTGCATGAGCTGTGAACCACAGTGTAACATGGCCTTAACATCATCCATCACCCAAACACATGAGAACTACTAGTTTAGTCCATAATGACTATACGTAGAAGATTTACATGTGATGATGAAATTTCTTATATAAATTCGAAAGCTTGAAGGGAATCAAATCTGACCTTGAATACAGTGTCACATTCACTCCAAATGTAAGGCATGTGATTTAGTTTTTTACATCAATTTAACTACATTCTTTCTGGGGACCAGGCTTAAATTAGCCTTGGAAAAAGAAACAAAACAGATTTTCTCAGCATAGTTTGGTAAGAATCAGCAAAATAACTTCATACTGTCATTTCCAGCTTTGTTTAATTTTCTGTACAGCACAAAACCACTGCAAAATTAGTCCAGGTTAGCATCCACACAAAAATAGATTATTAATGAAAGCAATCTGGAACTTGGAAAGCACTGCCATACAAGAAACAATCTAATATTCACCCAGGGAACACATGTGGAAACATTCTGAATTGCAACAATTTACTGTTGAGGCCGAAGACATTGTGAGAGCACTGATAAAGAGCTAAACCCCAAATTACCTCGCATAATCTGGTCTTGTCATCAACTACAACAAGGAAAAACTGGGTGGAAATAAAGAACACTGGCTTGTCCAGGTAACTAAACACACAGACAACTTAAACTATTATCACAAGTGCTCTGGGATGCTACTTTGCGTGAGGGCGCTATATAAATGCAAGTTGTTGTTGTCAGGACAGTGACTTTGGAAATGGACCTGTTACAGTTGAGCTGTGCCTTACATGGAGCTCCCTGAAGGAGATGCACTTTAAATCCTGAAGCGTTTTATTCGCTGTCATTTTCTAGACAAACACTTTTTCAATGCCACTGCCTTCAATCCACTTTTAGCCTCAAAGAATGACAAGTTAGAATACCCTTTCTTAAAAAAACTTCTTCTTTCTCTTTCAGACCTTCTGTAGTCTATTTCTCAACTGAGAGCCAGTCAGTTGGCCTACCCCCATAGCTTTCCCTATATATCTCCCCTTTTTTTTGAGAGTTCAGAGCTACTAACACCAGATTTTTCTTTCTTAACCCCTTCCCTCCTCCACCACTGCCTTAGGTAGCTCAACGCCACTTGATAACTCCCAGCTCTTTATTTCAAGTCATGTCCTATGACTGTAACAGACAGTTTTGGTACATCAATGTGTCCCACTAGGCCATGTTTCAATTGAATGCAGTATCTAGTTAGAAAAATATACTCTAAATTATTTATACCTCTGGACAAACTGATGCATCACTTACCATTTTTTGTTTGTTGGGTCCAAAGCTGCTGATGTCAGAAATGACATACATGCATGTCACCTGTCATTTTTAAGACTAGATATTTTGCCATTCTTCCTGATAATTCAATAAACAGCTAGAGAACGTTTCACTTTTGTTCTTGTGTAAGTGGCATATTCTTTTATTTATATTATGAAAGAGAAATTCTGGATGTACATTTGTGTAACAAATTTCTGCGCATCACAGAAAATACTACAAAATAACTTCCAGGTACAAAACTGAAGACCTCAAAATTATTCCAACACAGAGACTTACACCCTTCCCATACAACAGCTGAGTGTATCATCAATTACACAAAATAAACCTAACCATAATGGAAATGGTAATTTTAACCTCCCAACTGTCTGTGTGGGGTACAGTTGTCCTTTAAACAATTTTGATAGAGCACCCCACTGGGTCACCACCTCCTATACCCTTGGGATAATAATGAAAATGTTAGTAGAGACACATTGTATATACTATTGTGTAAAATAAGGAGAAACATGAGCTGACAGCTTAATTTACAACACCTTTGAACACACCGTATCTACTATGGTATTTCATTTCAAAATGCCAATCTAGATGTTGAACACACAACTCTTTGGATTCTTTAAATTGAAATCCATTCCTATGTGCCTACAGCTGAAAAAAAGGATTCAAATTTGTTGGAATCATGTTTGGTTTAGAATAATGAATACTCTGTTGTAAGTGTGTCTTTTATACAGTGAATGAGGAATGTAAAACAATCAGAGTATATGTGGAGCAATATACATTTCTGAGGACACAGGACTTGTCCAAACATTGTGCAGGAGGAAAAAGGTTTCACTGAGATAAAAATTGCTCGCAATGACACCCACTTATTAAATTTGATTACAGCTCTACGCAATTTTTAACTATTAACACACGTCAGGGAGGGTGACTTCAAAACAGAGTCCTAAATGGAGTGGCCTGGATCCCTTTCATATCTGGAAGAATAATATATCAGGCTCCACAAGGATCAAATCCAATGACATGTTACCTTAATGGTAATCAATTACTGGACTGACTGATCAGGAGGATCTGTGTCAGGTAGTGATATGTTAAATATTTAGAAACATGGCCAGGGTTACAGAATGACAAATTCCATTTTGTTTCTGACCAAAGATCATGGTCTGTCTCACTAAGTAGGTGCTGAAGATTTCCATCCAATGCATGATAGGCTTAAATGTGCTAATACAAGGTCCAATACATAACAAGAAAAGAATTAAAACCATTTCTGATATTATTGAATTAGCAGGAGACATTTCTAAAATTCAGTCCACCATAAACAGTGCTCCAACAGAACAGCTACATAAAGACAAGCAGTGTGGAACGACAAACGTCAACAGTTTTTGAATGAGTTAAGCAATAATTAATTAGGATATCAGCATTCATCTATCAATTACTTTGATGTAAGATGTCCCGCCTTATAGGGTGGCTGAGCTTATCATAAGAAATGGTACTGAAAAGCAAATGCTTTTACATTATGAACTATCATTACAGAAGGGAAAAACTATAATCGAATTGGAAAATAGCATTAGTCATTATATTTGGTGAACATCACCAATACCCACATGATAGGAATCATATATTTCTCACAGATCATAAATCTTTGATTGATATCCGGATTGAAATTAAAAGCTGGTATCCTTTCCTCTGGTGGCATAAGAGACAAATTATAGCCTGCATTGTCTGTTTCCCAGGACAAGGCACATGTGAACTGCACAGACACTGATACATTTATTTTCTTGCTTGTCAATCAATACCTTTAGAGCCTCAAGGCAAAACCAATTTGCCACATCAGATTGTTCTATAGGAAATCTGCCAGTGACTGCAGATGTTTCTGCAATCCAACTAAAACATGTGCTACAATTTACAGCATTATGTTTGAATTGTCAGAACTGTCTGCTGAAATAGATTGTGTGCTAGAGAGATCACAAGTGATAATTCTTATTCATGTCTAAACTGTGACAGTGAGTTATTTAACTGCAAGGTCAGACCAAGTCTAATCCTGTTCTCACCCGAAAGCTACATAGGCACAACATTTAAGGAATATTCCTTTTTGTTTCTGACCAAAGATACATACATGTCTGTCTCACTAAGTAGGTGATGAAGATTTCCATCCTACACCTGACAGGCTAATTGTGTAAATACAAGCTCCATTACATAACAAAATTCTAGTCCGGGTAAACAAACAACATCCTGACATGATTAAAACTAGAACTTTAGCTAGAAGATACCATTAGGGTACTGAGGCTTGTATAATTAGCTGCCAAAATGTGCCATTGAAATATAACCTTTGCATTCCTCTTTCAAGTTTAAAAATGACATACTTACTGAAAGAATCAGGCTCTATTGACAGTGATGTATATTCTAGATGTCCAGTATTAAGTAAATAGCAAAAATATTTACATTTGGTATAGCCCCTTTCGGGATGAGGGGTGGCGGGGGGGGGGGGGGGGGGAGTTATAAAAGAAAGGCAAGGTTAGTAGAAAAGTCTTAAGCTTCGATCAAATTGTATTTTTTGGCAATTATCCTGAGGTACATTTCATGTACTCTGGCAATGTGTGTGATTAATGAAATCTCACATTATATTTCCCATGATGGAGGTGATTAAATTTATGAGGGGGATGGGTGGTGGGGGATCAATAAAGTGAAGTTAAATAACTATTTTCATTTCATAGAATCATACAGCAGAGAATGAGGCCATTCGACCCATCGTGTCTGTGCCGGTTCTTTGAAAAGAGCTATCCAAATCAACCCACTCTCCGCTCTCTCCCCATAGCCCTGCAAACTAGTCCTCCCCAAATAACTACCTACTTTTCTCTTAAAAGTTATCGAATTAGCTACCACCACTTTTTCAGGCAATGGATTCCAGATCCGAACAACTCGCTGTGTGAAAAGATTTTTCCTCACTTCCCTTCTGTTTCTTTTAACAACTATTTTAAATCGGTGACCTCAGGTTACCAACCCACCCGCCAGTGGAAATAGTTTCTCCTTGTTCACCCTATCGAATCCCCTCATATGTTTGAAAACTTCTATTAAGTCTCATCTTAACTTTCTCTGCTCCAAGGAGAATAATCCTAGCTTCTCTAGCTTCTTCTGATAACTGAAATCCCTCATTCCTGGTACCATCCTGGTAAATCTTCTTTGTACCCTCTCCAATGCCTTGACATACTTCCTAAAGTGTGGTGCCCTGAACTCAACACAGTTCAGTTGTGATGAGTCCATAACAAGGGGGCATTGAGAGTCTTCTTAAGGGCTCAATAGGCTAAAGAAACATAAGAGAGCCATTACTAGACCTAAATGAGTTTAGGAGAAAATTCTTTATGCAGAGATTGGCGAGAATGTGGAGCTCTACTGTCAGAAGCTGTGGTTGAAGCAAAAAACTTCCATGCATTTAAATGGAAAGTTAATTCATACAAGAGAGAGAACGGATTAAAGAGTTATGGGGGAGACTAGGGATGAGGGATTAGGATGGGTGAAGCGTCATGGGAACATAAAGGACTATGTGGGCTAAATGGCATGTTATAGTACTGTAGATGTAATTCTATGAATATCAAAGTAATACAAAATTCACTATCAAGTGGAGCACCCCCAACCATTTATTTTAGTTTTATGGGCCTAAAATTACAGTAAGGAAGTACTGCTTACATTTGATTAGCTTTATTAAGTAGAGTATAAGTGGTTTTTTTCAGTATCACAATGCCTGCAACATTGCAAAACTGACTGTCCTAGGAAAACTGACGTTTTTGTTGACCTGTTGGCAGTCCAAGGGTTAAATAAGAGAAGACTTTTAAAAATTAATAACTGTAGTGCTTTGAGACTTTCTCCTGGTGTGAAAGGCACCATATAAATGCAATTTGTTGATGTTGCTGTTATTCAGAAGTCACACTGCAACATTTTTGTATTCTTTCAGAAGATACCCTTCCATTGACTTTCCTACAATAAAAGCTGGAAGTCCTGGTTTCAAATGGAGATCAAACACAGTAACGCATTTCAAACAACGGTATTTACAACGCAAGTGAATTGATGCAACATCACAATTTCAAAATGCCTGGCACATTCAGGGGACTTCCGATGATAGATACAAGTGCTTCTCACTCCCCAGCCTGAATCATCAACAAAATAAGACTAATGTAAGTTACATTTCACCCATAACCAAGGAGAACAATGCAGAGAATCAACGAGATAATGTCAGTGAAGAGATGGAGAGAATGTGGAATCTACCAGCTCAAACCTGGAATTTGAGAGAAAAATGGTTACACCCCTGACTCCAATCTTAAAATCTTGTGGATTCTTTTCTGTAGAAATTCAAAACCCTGGAATGGAGATAAATTTAGGAATGCTCATTTCCCAAATCTTCTACAGAATTGGAAAGTATAAGGTTAGCATTCAGTGCAAAGGTAAAAATAAAGAATGAGTGGTGTTATTAATGGAAAATATGTTATTTGGTAGCACACTCTAATTGTTTTACCTGTGGCAATGCCATCAAAAAGTGACAGTACTTTAATGGGTTTTCTCTTCTCAGCAGCAATGGGTTGATAAACCTTTGGTGGATCCTGAAAATGCAACCAACAATGACAATATGAATTATTATGAATTTCTACTTACTATTTATGCCTGAACTGACCTTGCATTATAATAATAGTACCGATCAGCCATAATCTAATTAAATGGTGGAACAGGCTCGAAATGCTGAATGGCCTTCTCCTGTTCCTATGTCCCTATAATAATCTTGGAATTATATATACTGTAGTGCCTTTCATGTCAAGAGGATGTGATTGTTAATTACATAATTAATATTTTACCATATAGTATTTAGAAAAAAAATTACCGAATAAATATTTTTCTCTATTGAGAGCATTAAAGAACCTTGACCTATTTTACACTGGAAACAAGGGAAAATGGATTGTCTTTAGCAACTCATTACCCAGGATTTCCCTCCCTCTCCCCCCCCCCCCCCAGTATTTCCTGCCTCTCCTCCACTGAGGAACTGACTCTCACAGAGGTGCTTATTCACATGATGCACTCCAGGATGCTACACCATGTAAAGTGCGCTATATAAATGCAAGTTGTTGTTGTTGTACCCTCGGATACCTTGCCCAAGGAACCATTCTTCATATGGAAACTCAAGACAGTGAGTGGTAGTGCTCTACAGGATACCTACACCAACTTGCATCTATACAGTGCCCTTCACATAGAGATACATCCCTGCAAGTTCTACTTAAGCTGTACAGTGCTGCGTTCAAGCTGCACCCAGATTACTGTGTATAACTTTGGTCACTGCAATATTAAGAGGCTTCCCAACCCATAGCGTCCAAGGGACTGGAACAAATCTGTACATGAATGAGCTATGAGGATCAACTAGATAAGCCAGATCTTTCAGCCTGGAAAATAAATGTCTCAGGGATGACCTTAGAGAGTGTACAAGATATTTAATGGGATAACACATGTAAGGTGACAGAACTGATGACAGATCCATTAGATTGACCTCAATAAGCCTGGAGCAAAACTCTAGAGTTACATTATTTGGGCTGTTCATTTTTAGGAAAGAATCACAAATCCCTCCACGGCCTACCCTTATCTCTATCACCTCCTGTGACTTTACTGGCTTGGCTGCTTTCTCCACCCAGTGAACATTGGCCTGCTCTATGTCCCTAACCCAAGCTGCTCCACTATCAGCAGGCGAGCTTTCACCCATTCTGCTCCTGTTGTGGAATTCATCTCGGAGTCCCTCTGACTCAGCCTCTCTGGGCACACATTTAAAATCCATCTTTTCTTTCCATCCCCACGCCCTTCAGCCCCACCCCTGGCTCTGGTACCCAGGCAGCTGGTACATTGAAGCATCCTCCCAACGTGAAAGGCCCTAAATCAATGTAAATTGTATTATATAATGAATACTCACAAATTCCTGGTCATGGTTATTTGCAAAAAACAGCTGGAGCCTCGATGGCCAATCATCCCTTCGCCTCAGCAGTCCGAAGATTCCTTTGTGGTTGCACATGTAGCAGTTCCAGGGGTCCTCTTTAATAGCCGCCTGAGCAGCACCTGGTCCAACCAGCAAGTCCACACATTCTACACAGAAGCACCTGAATGAGGAGAAAATGGAGCATGGTCACTAACAAGGCTGAATTATTTTGGTTGAGGGTCCGGGACAACTTTCAACTCAGGCGTCTTGGGAGCCAGGCGATCTAGGAGATCTACCATACTTACTGGGTTGAAACAGCTCAATGCACTTCACACGATGAGTTATTTACAAGCGTAGTGACTGTTTTTTGTCTAGGCTAATTCAGAAACTAATTATACAAGCAACAGCCCACAAACAGCAATGTGCTAGTTCAAAGAGGAAGGTGCTAGGGCAAGAAAGGAAATTAGACTTGGATTGAGTTTCCAGTCTGTCACAGATATGAGGATGGGTATCAGAGAATCTATAAAAAGTGGTGTGAGAACTGACTTTATGTCCGATCTGCAGTCTGCTAAGAATCTGACAGAAAATGTTGGCATGAATGTTGAACTTCTGATAAATCCCAACTGACAATGTCAAAGTCAAAAGCAACAGGTTGCATTTATATACTGCCTTTCACGTTGAGTAGGGTCTCTCTCTTACTGCTGATTATTGGGGTTCTTGTGAACTGAGAACTCAAAAGCAATTAAGGTTGAGCGTCAACAACACTAAGCAAACCATAGGTACTAAGCAGTATTAAATTTGATCCACAAATTAACTGGGGACAATTTTCTCCCAGTTATTAAATTTAATACCTAAATAGTAGCACAAGTCAAACTGAAGTTTCAATGGTACAGACATGTCTGTGTAAAACAGATGCTGTGTGTTTCCTCTCAGTGTTATAGTGGCAAATGGCAAGTCTGGAAAAACATAGCTGAAAAGAGTAATTATTCGACACTGGAATCGTAATCTGAGTATCCCTTAGGTTTATTCACAGAGAACTGTCATGACAGGTAGTTGAGGACACTCACTGGATTCATTTAAAAAGCAACTTAATACTGTGATGGGGGAATAGTAGTGTGGGTGTTCTGGAAGGATGAAATTGGATGGTCCAACAGGCTTTCTTAAGACCAATCTTGTGTGATCTTGTGTTCCATTCAGCTGCCACTGCCCTCCCAACTTCCATCCCCTCCCTAACCCGACCCCACACAATTTCCCATCCGACAACTACCCATCCCTCCTTCCACACCTTTGAACCTGTCACCCCCCTCCTCTGTCTTCACCACCGTAGCCTCCATGAAGCCCACCACCTGCTCCCTGGACCCATCCTTACCCCTCTCCTAAAATCTCAGCTCCACCTCCTTGCTCCACTACTCGCTGACATCATTAACCTCTCCCTGTCATCTGGCACTGTTCCTTTCCCCCTTAAAACAGCCACTATCACCCCAACTTGAAGAAACCTTCCCTTAACTCATCACAGTTATCTAGCTTCTGGCCCATCTCAAATCTTCCTTTCCTATCCAAGGTCCTTGAGAGATCCGTTGCCTCCCAGCTTCGTTCTTTCCTCTCCTCTCACTCCCTCCATGAACCCCTCCAATCGGGTGTCCGTGCTTCCCACAGCATGGAAACTGCTCTGGTCAAGGTCACAAACGACATCCTGACCATGTGTGATCAGGGCTCCCTCCGCCTTCTCGTCCTCCTCGAACTCTCCTCTGCCTTTGACATCGTGGACCATTTAATCCTTCTCCAACACCTCTTCTCCCACCTCAACCTTCAAGGTTCTGTTCTTGATTGGTTCAGGTCCTACCTTTCACACCGCCTCCACTTTGTTGCGGCAAATGGCTTCTCCTTGAGCCTCCGCACCATCTTGTGCAGTGTTCCTCAGGGCTCTGTCTTCGGTCCCCTCCTCTTCACAATCTACATGCTCCCCCTTGGTGACATCATCTGCAGACATGGGGTCAACTTCCACATGTATGCGGATGACACCCAACTCTACTTCTCTGCCTCCACCCTGAACTCCAGGACTACTTGCGTCCTGACTGACTGCCTGTCCGACATCAAGTCCTGGATGAGGGCCAACTTTCTCCAACTTAACGTCAGCAAGACGAGGCCCTCCTGATTGGCTCACGCCAGTGCCTCCGCACCTCAGGCGCTATCAGCATCAGCCTCCACGGCTGCACGCTCAACCTCACTAAGCCAGTCAGGAACCTGGGTATCTTGTTCGATCCTGAACTATCCTTTCTCCCCCACATCCGCGCCATGACCAGCACTGCCTACCACCACCTCCGCAATATTGCCAGACTCCGCCACTGCCTCACCCCTCAGGCTGTCAAAACCCTCACCCACTCATTCGTCACATCAAGGCTCGATTACGGGAACTCCCTCCTCATCAGCCTTCTCAACTCTTCCCTTCACAAGCTGCAGATCATCCAAAACTCTGCACCTTGTGTACTCTCACGCACCAGGCTCCACGACCCCATCACTCCCTCCCTCGCCCGACTCCACTGGCTCCCCATCCCCCAGAGGATCGAGTTCAAGATCCTCGTCCTCACCTTTAAGGCCATCCATGGCCTTGCCCCCTCCTACCTCTCTAACCTGCTGACTCCCTACCAACCTGCCCGTTCCCTCCATTCAGCGGGCTCCGGTCTGCTCCATGTCTCCCGCCCGACCCGCCCTACCATCATTGGCCGGGCTTTCAGCCTCTCTGTCCCCACATTCTGGAACTCCATCACACGGTCCCTTCGCCTCGCTTCCTCCCTTGCCTCCTTCCATGCCGGTCTCAAGACCCTTCTCTTTGATCGTGCCTTCAGTCGCCCTCGCACCTCTCTACCTTCCTTCACCCCTACAACATCCCTCCCCCATGCTCTGGCCCCGACACCTGACTGTTCAGCGCTTTGGGACATCTTCCCGATGTGAAAGGTGCTCTATAAATATAATTTTGTTGTTGTTGTTGTTGATCTTGAGAGAATCGCATCTTTGGCAGAGTGGTTTGATAGTCTTGTTACAAGAAAGAAAGTGGAAGATTACCTGTATGATTGGTATTACCCTATAAATGACAGCCAACATGGCCTCATGCGGGCTAGGTCTTGTTTGACAAACCTGACAGATTTTTTTCGAGAAGATGACATCCCAATTTAACTGTGGCAAGTTGCATGATATAGTACATCTAAACTACCAAAAAAACCTTTGACAAAGTATCTCATGAGAGACTCTTTAATTGACACCAAGAGGTATCAGAAAAAGACATGGATGTGGTTTAGTAATTAGCCAAAAGAAAAATAGGAAGTAAAAATAGGAGGCACACATGCTCATGGGCAGAATTTTCCAAGGGGGAAATTGAAAGATGCCTAGGGGTATTAGCTGACATTTCTCCCATATCTAAATGGTATCAATCAACAATCACCTCCCAAGGCATTCTCAAGCTCTGCAACTCCTGATCAGGGAGAACTTGGGGTACACTTCAGCGTTGAAAAGAGATGCCTTAGAGTGAAACTAATAGGAGCGTATATAAATAGGATCGAAAAAGTAAACTAAGAAAAATGATTTCAGTTATGCCAAGGTAGCAGGACAAGAAGGCAACGGATTCAAGATTGTGAAGAGCAATTTCAGGAAAGGCATCAGAAAGCATTTTACACAGAGAGCAATTAATGGCTGGAATGAGTCAGCAGGAAGGGGAACTCATTTAAGAAACAGCTTGACAATATAAAGGGAAAATGGTAGGTTGGATTTTCTAAAGTTATGAGGTCAAATGGGCCAAAGAGCAGGGCAGGGCATTCCACATCCCAGCAACTCTCTCCCGAGTGCAAAAATTCTCCTAAGCTCTCCTTTCACTCTTCTCGTGACTATCTTATAACTATGTCCCTTTGTCACTGATTCCCTACAGTGGAAAGGATCCACTCACAATATATCCACATAAACTGGATTTCTTCCCAATTCATCCATGCAACTAGAGTGGGATGTATAAGGAGGAGTTATTATAGTTATTATATATAACTATAAGGAGGAGGTTGTAACTGTGACTTGATTGAAACCTGTGCAAAATCATGATTTTATGATTATTGGGTTCTGTGTTGCATTTAATCTTTATCTCAACCAATACAGGAACTGCAGAGAGAGTTACGACAGATGGACTCACACTGTGGTATCCACTTCAGTGTAAGTAACATCAAATAAAATTCAAGAATAAAATGTTTGGTCCTTACATACATACCAACGGCACAGTATTTATGGCATATGTTTTATGGTATCCAAGCCACCAGTTGTAGGTTTTAAACAGGAGCCCTGACCTTCACAATACATTACCACACAAACTACTGAATTTCGGGACAGATACATTATTTTGATGACTTTCCTGTCACTCTCCCTTAGTGCTAGTTACATTGGTTTCCTGATACAAATGAGCTATCAACAATGAAGCGTGATGCATCCTTGAAATAAGCCTCTATATACAATGATGCCAGGATTACCTGCTCATTAAAGGCTGCATGGCTGCTTTTATGTAATTGTTGTGAAATTCAGCAAACTAACAGTCTGTCCTAAGCTGCTGCAAGTGTTTGTTAGATTGATTTCACTGTCGAAGACTGACAGGAAGAAATATCTGAATAGAAGTAAATACACCTTCCCACTAAAGTCAAATTGTAATAACAAGCACAAGCATACACATAACAACTATATACTCAGATGGATACATAAAGTACACACAAAACAGATGTTACACACTTCAGGGACATGTACACGCACACATACTCCATCACTGAAAACCAAATAAAAACTGATGGTGCCCGATACAATTGTTGACAACGGCCTGCCTGAGGCATTCTTGAGAGCCAGTTCTTAAGATCATCAAATAAATCATCACAGCAGATTAAAGCCTCATCGTACTGCAAAAGTCTCTTTTCTAACCATAACTCAGGGATATCAGGCATTTATGTTCCAGAAATGTAGAAATAGGCACAGAATCATTAAAAACCATGATTATTCGACTTGTAGAGATCTGTGTAACTCTGGGGCTAACTGTTGAATTTGCAGTACACAGAGCTTTACTCTGTGTCTGGTCTTTCTATCCCTGACGTGGGAATATTTGATGCTCACGTTTAAGAAGTGGAAGAAAATGTTTCTATCAAAAGTTTCTGATGAGCACAAATTCTTCACTGCCCCCTCCTTCCAAAATAAAAACAGTAGTTTAAAGGGAATCAAGATAAAAAGACTTACAGCAATCTAAAGTAACACAATTTTAGCGGAGGATGGAAGAGGATCTCCCAGGAGCTGAGCTTCACTAGTTAACAGTAACATATTTTATCCCAGTTTGTTTCTCAGTTGGTGGGAACCATACATGATGACAGTATCTCCATGACATTGTTTTTGTTCTTTTATGGAAAAGATGTCACAACTTAAAAGAGACATCAATGTGAGAACAATATAGTCTTACAAGATAGTCACCAGAACCCTTTGCAGTCTATAGCAGGTTATAGCTGAAAACTAAGATTAATCATTGCACTTGAATCCGATATTTCATCTTATAACATCAAAATGTCCAAAGACCCTCAAACAGTGAGTTACTCTGAAGCATAGTCATTGGTTGGCAACATAAGAACATATTTGCATGTCTAGCCACTATATCCATGGGAAAGTTTTCCATTCCATTTCCCTTCTTTTTCTCCATTTAGTTTAATATCCACGTATTGATTACTATGGGCAACATTTGAGTAGTGTTTCACAGGATACCAGTTAAGTTAGTAGACTGTTTTCAGCTGTACACATGCATCATTTTTAGCTTTGACACACTGGTTTTGGCTTAAAGGCTTTGTGCTCCAAGTCATGCACACAAATGCTTCCTCCAGGATCCATTAAAAGTATTGTTGGCCTGCTATTACTGCGTGCATATTCGAGCTGACTTCAAACCCCAAAATATTCAATAAAAATTTGAAAACATTTGTAAAGCCTTCTGTAAACTCTTCTTTTCCAAACAAGAATAAACCTATCTTCCTTACATTTTCTTTATAACTTTACATTTTTGACACCCAGCATAATTTTGGGCTAATTCTATGCTGTTCCCTCACAACACCAATACAGTAGAACACTGCATATCTGTACACCGGTACTATCTACAGGTACGCTTATCCATATTGGGTTCCAATATAGAAAAGTGAGCCAGCAAATAATAATTACACATAGGAGCACGAGGTTCCCAGAAACATGATTTTCTCCCCATGCAGCATGACTGTTCTGGCAACATGAAGTAGGTGTATTTATTCAGGAATGTGTTATAGGCACAGTGTGATGACAGAAAAAGATAGAGGCAGAGATAAAGTGAAAGAGAAGGTCATCAAGATAGAAAGATAAAGAAAGTTAGTGAGTCAGAAAGAGACGAGAGACATTCAGAACAAGGGAAAGGACTAACACAGTATGGGACTGTTGTGACATTGCAACTCTCTATGAAACAAGTCTTAGATTAGCCTTGGAGCCAATTGGTATTTTGCATGATAACACACTGCACTGTATTCACATCCACAATCGCCTGTACCAATTATTGTGGATAACAGACTCTCTACCACAATGGAGTCTAATTTATGATATTTCTTAATGAAATAAGTATAATTATCACATTTCTAAAACAATGAATGCTTCAGCACATTCAATATTTTAGAAAATTGATAACTGCATGTTTTATCAGGAAATACTTCCAATTGGGTTCCATTACGTCTTACTAAGATATGGCACATGGGACTCAAGATAAGGCATGACCAATGCCTGATACAGTAAAAATGTGTCACAACACACAATAAGTTGATTTTACATTCTGCATTTCTTCTTCTCTTTCTCCAACTGCCAAGACCCGAATTGCTCATACCTGCAGCAGTTATTGTTTCCGCACATCAGTACCTCCCTGCCCCCGCAGCAGATGGTACAGTAGGACTGGTAACCGTCATCATCATATTGGTATGCACACTCCAAGAAGCAGTTCTGAAAACAACCACAACAAGGTTAGGAGTTTCACAGTCCATTCATTCCATTGTAACTTTTGTTGCACTCCAAAGTCATTGTGAACAACTGAAATGGTGCAATGGTGCTGGCCCTTATAGGCTCTGCATGGCTGATTGCTCAGGTACTATGGTGCATACTCTTCAACTGCTTCTTTCACACCTCTATACATTCTTCGTACGTCATCAAACTGTGAATAACAGCAGGTTATATTTGTTCTCAATATCAGACTGAAGAGCAGAGTTCTGCCACGCCACAGGAAGAAGGGAGGGTTGGAGGTCAAGAAAAATGTGTAGCGTTCTCATGCATTTTCTAGTTGCTGATTCAAGAGCGACATTGATGGAAGCCTGGGAACAGGCCCCTGTCCTGACCTCTTGGTCAGAGAATGATGGGTGAGGACCTAAAGAGAGGAAGAAAGATGACTAAAAATAAATAGATAGAATATCTCTTAAAAGGGTGTAAAAAACCGCTATGGTGGGAAACTGAAGGGAGAAGCATTTCCAATGTGTGTGTCTCACAGTAATTGTCAGAAAATGCTGCTGATAAATATTCAATATTTGTAGAGCTGTTGACAATAGACTGGAACAATTACTTGACTAAAGCAGATGCAATGCAGTCATACTCTTCTGTCAAGAGGTAGAGGGACTCAAACACCCCAATACTACTATTCCTTTCCTCCATTACCTTACATTTCACATCTGCGTTACTCAAACAACTGCCTTCTGGGCTCTACAAAAGTGTCCGCCCAGCAATGGACCTCATTGATTTAAATCGAATACTGTGGGACACACACTGGGGAAGGGAGAACAGGAGATACTTTCAATTAAAGTATTTCCTCTTTTCCGTCTCCTGAAACTCACATTCCACATTAACCCTTTGAGTACTCACTGTCCTTAACAGATTAACAGTATGCACTTCGGGCCCTATTTTCAAAGCCACTCTGAAATATCATTCGCAGAGATTTATTTGCACAAGTTGCGCTTGCGGAGTTGCTTTTTGTATTTGCCTTAGCCTAGGGGCATAATTCACTGCAGTTGCACAAAAAAATCTTCTGCAAAGATCCTCCGCAGTTTCTGGAGGTATTCCCATAGGATTTTTCGCACGGTGTGGGTGCGAGTTTCAAATCCCATAAATTGTCGCACATTGTCAGGTTGCGTGAAAATAACTTACCCCGGTTTTAACTTGCCGCAAGCCCTGCAGGAGACAAGAAAAATACATTAAAATAAAAAAAAATGTGAATTTATTTTTACAAATGACAAGGCATGTGTATGTTTCTTGGGAAACAGAACAGTGAACAAGAAACAAATTCTCACTCAGAGGATTCATCTTCCCAACTCTTTCTGATGCTTGGAGTGGCTGCCATTGACTTCCATTTTATTTTAGTTTCCCGCAAGATTTTCCAGGTTCACTAGGATTAAGAATCACCATTTTCTCTTTTCGTGCAATAACATGGTTCAGGATGGACAAATGATTGCGCCAAAAGTGTCATGGGCTATAACAAAACGGGCTTTTGCGCGACTTCCAAAAATTCTCACAAAGAAAATTCACGAGGATTCCGCAGCGCGTCTGCAAAATGATCAACCATTGCGCCAAAAAGCAAACTATTGAAAATAGGGCCCATCATCTATCACATAATATCTGCAAAATGGCTTTTCCATACATTTTTAATATTAAATAGTAGAAGTCAAATTGGAGAGCATGCAACAGGTCTTAATTCATGTTCTTAACCAAATAAACCAAAATGTTAACAAATTATAACTTTTATTTGGGGACAGGAATGTTTCAATAGTCCTCAAAGGGTTTGTATGCTTTCTAACAGCTTCTCTTTCACACAAGTTGTGAGCTTTTTGTTTATATATTGGCGAAACAGCGTAAAACATATCTCAGGGTGTCCTTTAGGTAAAAATGAAGAAGATTTAAACCTAAATCACTGTAGCTATTGTAAGGTAGTTGAGTACTACTGAACTGAAATAGTCACACTCCATTGATAAGAGATGAGGAATCCATGAAAACCGTCCCCTTCCCTATCACTTGATGTTTGGCATATACTTTACTCAAGTATTGGGTTCTACAGAGATATTTCAATATAGATATGTGGTGACTACTAGTGGATTATTTCCATGAACATATACATATGTTACTGCATTTGCACACCACAAACAGTACATTATTATGTCTTCACCCACTGAGTTGGATGGAAGAAGGAAGTTTCAAACTGTAACCAACCTGACATTACCAAATGTATTTTGATTGTCTTGCACTAAGCTTTGCAATATTACCACAATATTTGCATACATATAATTATATTTCTTTTTCTCTTTTCTTTTTTTTAGAAAATAATATTGCATATTTACTTTCATACACATTGCCGTTCAGAAAGATAGTAGTCTTCAGGATTGTCTACTTTATCACTTGGCTGGAATGTGTGATTACCAGTTGTACTCTGGAAGATGTCACTGATTATTTTATTTCGACTAGTACATTAGATTGAGGGCTGTATGCATGACACCTCATTAAGTGGAAAATATAATAATTTCATTTGCCTCCCCAATTGAACAATAGCAATGATAACAATATGTATTTATATAACCCCCTTCATGGATGATAGAGGCTCAGATGGTAGAAATGTCATATTCGTCAATACCAAAAATAGCACAGTTAGAACTCATGCAAAGTCCATATTTGTCAGCTGCTCAACTTGACCAACTCAACTGAAAACATCAACTAAAGTTGTCAACCTCTTTGGAAGTACTTCATGATTTTGTACATGAAATTTGTCTCTTCCCACCTTCTGCCAAGGTCATTTAAGAACTTTGTATCCTTTTGTGGGTTTCTTCTAGTTAACTGAGTGAACACTGGGGTACTGCTCGAGTTCAACCAATTAAATTCAGACACCCTACTGTTGGAGAGTATGTTAAGCTTCCCATTCCTGTCCAGCTATGACCACCTACCAATTAGGGCTCGTCTTGATTATGATGAGCTCAATGGGAAGAATCCTAGATGCCAGTGACTGGTCTACTTTTCTAAGTCTCAGCAACAAGCAAAGCTGGTTGGTCCTTCATAAGCAGTGCTCTGGGTACTGTCTTCCTGCCTAGCTCAGGTATCGGACTATTGAGACTGACTCATAAGATTGACTCATAAGAAAATAAGAATTGCTGATCAAAAGAATACCAAGGTCCATCCAGTTTGCCTTCACCATCTTAGCAGTCACAAACTATATACTGTATCCCATGATATTATTTCCTAAAAAAATCTATCTCATTTGCTTTTGAAAGAATCAACACTTTCTGCCTCCACCGTCTCCCTAGGGAACCTGTTCCATACATTTACAACTCACTCACTGAAATAATAATAATCCTTGCATTTGATATAGTGCCTCATTGCGTCTTTGAGACGTCTCAAAGCGTTTCACAGAATATACTGTAAAGTGAATTGACTGTATATTTTGTGGGCAACAGGCAGCCAATTGCGCACAGCAAACAAATAATGTTTCCGCAGATTTGTTTTCAGTTTACCCCCTTCAATCGCAGGCCGTGTCCTCTGGTTCTACTGTGATGGACAAGAGTTTGAAAACTTGATCAATTCTGATGTTGCATTGTCATGTATGCCACCATGGAGGCAACTCAGCCTCAAACAGACCCTGCTTACTTTGCCCTTCCTCACTGAAGTAGTCACTATTTGATTATTAGATATCTGCCATGTATGGGTTTGAGCCCTTGTCAGGAGTATTTCAGGTACCAAGAACTACTGGCAAGTAGCTTGGTGAACAGCACAACTAAGCATAAATGGTGCAAGAGGATTGCCACCATCCACCTGACCACAGCCTGGATGCGGACCTCTACTCATTAAATGGTGGTTTCACCAGTTTGGAGGTATGGAGCTTCAGCAGAACTTGCTTACCTATCTGCAAACGAATTAAGGTAGGCAGCAAGGCCAGGAAATACAGAAACAAAAACAGAAGTCACTGGGAACATTCAACAGGTCAGGGAACATCTATGGAGAAAGGACAGTGAGTCAACGTTTCGGGTCCACCACCCTTTCCAACATCTGCAGTATTTTGTGTTTTGTTTACAGGAAATAATCATGTGTTCAGGAACTTTGGAGGCTAAGTAATGCCTTCGGTCATCATCCCAAGTCTCAGAGTTTCTTCATCAGCTATTTGACAGACATCTGTTTCCCATGATTACTCAATTCCAACTGCTTAACAAAGGTCCTCATGTACTGAAGAGTTAGACGGATGATTCTTGTATCTTCCAATTGATATCCTCAAAGTTCCCTCTTGAGTCCCACAACTAGATCCACTGAATTGCCCAGTATTCAATATAATTTACATTCATATAGCACCGAAGAACGTCTTGAAGTGCGTCACTCAGAGGATGGGCATCTGAGCCCAGGGGAGGGGCTGGGGGGATTGGGGGGTAAAGAGGGAGAGGTGGCCAAGATGATGAGTGCATCACTCAAGATCCCCAGGTAAGTCCACCAATGACATAATAACTGCAAACAGAAGTAATTCTACTGGAAATACCTGGAACGGATACATTTGCCCACAAAATACAGTCAAATCCACTTTACAGTATATTCTGTGAAAACGTGATGAGCCGCTATATCAAATGCAAGGATTATTATTATTACTTCAAGACCATGCTTTTGATGCATCAATACATCATTGACAGGTGCATCGAATAGGGTATATTCATCAATGCCTTCAAACTACCAGATTGTATCATCTGGGGAGGGGGACAATTCTCAAATGAGTAAATTTAGATTTTGGCAAACATGAATATTGTATTCTTCACCACTTCTCATTTAGATTTTAATTTGATTGAAATTCCCACTTCCAATTTTCCTAATTTAATGGAACAGATGAGAATAAAATCTTCTCATTCAGCAAAACCCATACATTTATAAATAATCTGCAGAACTGGATAATCCCTCTCCCCACCTCAACCCTTCTATCCTGTGATGGGGTTTGAATCTCATTCTTTCAAGTCTCAAAACAATTGTTATCAAGTGGGTTCTTCGGGGTGCATTCCAGTGACTTGGAATTCCTTACTGCTGTTTACAAATAACTTGGAGAAGAACACTTTGTGCAATATTGTATTATTTGCTGATGATAACAAACTAGTTCAGGGTGACCAACAAGTCATTATACCATTACAATGTCTAATAAGTCTTAAATAAATTATGATATTTTTGTTTGTTTTAAGATAATAGGGTGGTTATCATGACTTTTTGGTCACCCTGTATAATGAGAAGAATAAATTGCATTCAAGAAGATCTGGATCATTTAAGCAGATGAGACCTGTTGTTTCAGATGGATTTTAATGTGGATAAATACAAGATGATACATATTCAAAGAAAACATGGTAAACATGTGGACAAAACAAAGGGTGCCCTTTAGCAAAGGTGAAGAAGATAAAATCATTTGGGATGAATATTGATCGTCCTCTTAAGGGTTTCAGATAATGTGAAGCTGCTTAACAAAGTGAATTCAGTACAAGGAGCATATATTTCCACTGGCCAGTAAGGATACCAATCTTGGCTCGGAGCTCTTGTATTGGGTTTCCCATATCATAAACATACTGGCTGTGCCAATAATTTTATGAAGCAGAGAAATTAAGTGTATGTTTTGCCTTTAACAGGTGTTGTAACACCAGTTCCATTATTTGCTACTAGCTTTTGCAGTTTTAGTCACTTTTCCATTGACTCTGATCAGCTCACAGGGTCACATGTTCAAACCTTATCTAAAAAGAGGTGAATAGTAGATCAACCAATGAAATATATCAAGCACAGCTAAAATAATAATGCCCATCCTCTTTGAGATACTTTCAATCTCCAGATGTATTTGTATTTTAAAAAAATTCACAGCACACTCATTTTGTATGTTTCAATTTTATTAAGATAGCTCATTCTAGTTACCAGCTAAAACCAAACATATTCTTACAAGCTTTACATTAACATATTATCGACTACGTATTCCACATGTAATTATATAACATAAGTATGTCCAGTAGGTTAGGCTATCTTCAGAATTATATGTCAATGACCTCAGTGAGTTAACTGCTTTTACCCACAAGGGTTCCCAATAAATTTCCCTCTCTCTCCCTTTATATATATATTATATATAACGAATATTATACACAATCTATATATATATACTCCTGTACATGACCTTCTCCAGAGATTTCTTTGTGTATTTCCATGGGAAGCTATCTCTGTATATATGTATTGATTCTGAATAAAATTTATATTTATGTATCTGTCTTTCCTAAGTGAACAGTGAGCTCTCTTCAACAAGTATAATTTGTTTACCCGATATGTTTTGCCCTTCATTCTTCAGGACTTGTGTCCTCCAGGCATACTTATGAACTAGGAAGTCAGTGTAACTGAAGTATATGGACTTCCCTTGAGTCATCCTTAGTGCTCTGTTGATGGAACAGTACGATTAGTCCAGGCCAATTTTCTTCCCTATGAAGGATTCGTAATCAATGATAATCAATGTTGTACAACTGAACTCACCAATGTGAATAGCCCAGCCAGATCAAATCCTCGAGTGAAACTTAACCTCAAAGGTTTAAAATCAGACTCATGGGGAAGAGATACATCAGTTCTCCCTCAGCATGCTGGACTTTAAAAGAGCAGGGTAGCAGAGTGGTATCCGTCTACCAGAGCAGAGTGCTCAAAACCAGCATAGATGTACTCCAGTCTGTCCTGATCTTGAAGATCAGCTTCATGAGCCCTCCTGCGAATACGTTTATTTTCCATGTATGCACACTGTTGGGCCATTTGTTTGTTTACCCTCAAAATGATAATCCCAGTGAGACCTTGAATCACAGAAGAATTTTGATTTCAATGACTCTGAGATGGTTCTTTAGCTTAGCGTGATGGGTATATTGGATACACTTAAGCCCATGGTCTAATTGGAGAAGAACAGGCTACCGACCGGTCCAACAGGACTTTTGTGGAATAAGATTTAGGTTTATAAAACAGGAATCCTATCAACGTTGATTACTTTCCATATGGTTCTTAATATATTGCTACATGCTGTCCTTGTAAATAAGTTTGAAACAGAGAACACAGTAAAATCCTGATTCTCATCTGGAATTTACAATTTATTGCTCTATGGGTTATGTAAGGGGCTAAGAGGAGGAAGGAGGGGCTCACCAAACTCAATATTTTTAGTGAGAGGATTGAGACAAAGTTATCATCTTCAACAACAATTTATTAGTTGGCATTGAGAGGGACAGCCTTGGATTGTTGTTGTTTTCAGCATGGTGTTGGTGCACTCACTTAAGAAACGTTGAGCTCCATTCACCAGCTGGAACATCGTGTTAACCATAGGATGTGTTTGGGAAGAGAAGTTCCAGCATTGCTAAAATGGTTACATGTAGTTCAAAGAACACCTTAAAGATATTGATTGAAAGAAACAGTTGGAATCTGTCCCAACTATTCATTTATATTGATGTATAGGTTTCCTGGTGGATGCTATCCTTAATGGGGATATAATTCTTAGGGTCCATATTGAGAAGATGTAAATATGGCTATTGGTTTCTCTCTGCAAAAGCAAAGTTTCGGGTTGACGTGGGTTCAAACAATTGCTTTTAATGGATCAAAGATCCTAAGTATGGGGCAGAAACGTTAACTGCAACTCACGTGTGATAGATCCAAGCCAAGCTGTGAGATAATTTTGCAGTAAAAAGGCAAAACTACTTAAGGCCATAATGAATTGTTATTTTTTCCCCTTACGGGAGTTGATTTCTTTGCCAGAGCCCCTTACATGAAGACCTGGATTAAGCAGTTGACACTAAGGAAACCTGCTTTGTAGCAATGGGCTTCGCCATTTAGAAAATCTAGACGGCTTTAGGTCTTTCCACCATGCTGGATGTATGAAAAAGATCAAAGAAGAAAAGTTACATGGACTGTACAAAACAGAAATGGACCACTTGGCCCAACCAGTCCGTCCAGTGTTTATATCTCAGATGTATCTAAATGTATTTTTGGAAAGTCTTGCACACACACACAATCCCTCAGACTGCTGGATGAAGACTTTATAGTGACAGTTATGTTCAATACCACATGAGGATGGAAGTTACTGATTTAGACCGTCCTGGGTTGGAAGAAGAAATGTGGAGGAGGAAAGAAGTAATGGTGATCAAAGAGAAAAAAATGTGAGAAATTATATGCACAAAAATTGTCTAATTCATTACATATTTCACTTTAATTGGAAACTCTTTCAATGGACCAGTTTTGGTCATTCTGTGAGCTTCTGTCCTGAAACTCTCAGCAGTCCAGCCCACGTGCTAACGTTTCACAGTTTTAATGGATTGAACAACAAGTATGGAATCTTTAGGAGTGAACAGAAAGAACCTTGAGGACACCAAAGGAGACATGGACCATGTTATGGTGGCTCTTTAAAATGTGAACAGACATTTTTCTGAAATACTGCCAGGGTAAAGCTAGGAGAAAGCTTGTTATGGTGTTAAGCGTGGACTATTGATCTTACCTGTGTCACTGGTTATAAAAGAGGAAAATCAATTGGAGGATCAGTAATTCCATTGACCCGCCCTCTTTTTGAGCAGTTAACTCCTTCATTCTTGAGCTCCTAGTGAGAGGGAGGATAAATTGCAAACCTGCCGAACAGCTTATTTCATGCTGCTGCCAAAGTGAAAATGATAAAACTGCTGATATATTAACACTGCTCCCAGTTATTGCCATCCGTGCTGTATTCTCTTCACCCTCAAAACCAAATAATTTTCTCCCTTACCTTACAACTTTGGCACATGCCTCCAATGAAGAGCGGGTGTTCAAGCAAGACATTTTGACTTCCACAAGCGAGGCAAAAATCTGCAAACAGTTAAGGAAAATGTTTTAATATTTTAAGCTTATGTTACTTTCATTGTAAAGTACAATTTTTAGTGAAATGACAGTACCCCTACCTTCAATGTTTCTGCCATTTTGTCTTATATCATAAACAAGCCGCTCTGAAAAGCACAAGAAATTTGTGAAAATATATGGTTTATGTTTCTATTGGTGTCTTTGGCATAAAGAGAATCAATTTTATGCGTTCTAAAGTAAGGTATGCCAGTGCTTTCAGTTTTAATTTTATCTTCAGCACACAACTTCAGCACTTAACTCACTCAGGTCACAGGTTCAATGCAAAGTAAATTAGGTACTATACCTGAAGAATGTGTTTTAACCCAAGCTTAATAAGACCCCTTTCCATCAATATACCATTGTGACATTTGCAATTTCACAGCCCCCCTAACGTTTGGGCCTCTCTGCATAGAATGTCAAGGTGTCAGCTGGGTTCAGTTGGTTGCACTCTCTTCTCCGAGTCAGAATGTTGTGGGTTCAAGCTCCACATCGTGACTTTGAGCTGACAAACTAGGCTAGGATTTACTGTAAAGTGTAGTGACTGTATCTTGGAAACAAATACAGCAGACAATTTGTATACAGCAATGTTCCACAAAGCACCATGAAGTGAACCAATTTTTTTTGGAGGGGACTGTTGGCTAGGACACCAGGAGAAACTTCCTTCTATTTTGAATAGTGTCAAGGAATTTTTAATGTCCACTGAATAGGTAAACTGGGCCTCAGTTTAACATCTCAACTGAAGGATGCCACCTCCAATAATGCAGCACACTCCTGGTGCTGTATTCTGACACGAAGGGGATTGAGTTGAGCAGCTCAAACTAATTGGGAGCCATTACCAGTGGCAGAGAGAGACTTTCAACTCTTCAGGGGGTGTGAGTGGTGGAAATAATTTCAGTACCATAACATTGTGAGAACAATGGCATTTGGAGACAATTATAGATAAAACTCAAGATAAAATTTAGGAATAGCTTGACCAAGGTGTCAAGTCAAATATAACATCTACAACAACAACAAAATTAATTTGTATAGCGCCTTTCATGTCAGGAGGATGTCCCAAGGTGCTGGACAGTCAGAGTTTCGGATCCGAGCTGGGAGTCTGGGTGAGGGAGGGTGAGGGGCAAGCAGGGTGATCGAAAGCACGGTCGAAGAGGAGGGTTTTGAGATGGGTCTTGAAGGAGGAAAGGGAGGGGGTAAGGCGGCAGGACAGCGGGATGGAGCTCCAGAGGGTGGGGACAGAGTAGCAGAAGGCCCGGCCACCAATGGTGGGGCGAGCGAGGCGGAGGACGTGAAGCAGGCCGAAGCCTGTTAAGTGGAAGGAGCAGGCAGGATGGTAGGGGGTTAGGAGGTCACAGAGGTGGGGGAGAGCAAGACCATGGAGGGCTTTGAAGGTGAGGACCAGGATCTTGAACTGTATCCTCGGAGTGATGGAAAGCCAGTGGTGTCGGGCGAGGATGCAGGTGATAGGGTCACATTTCAGTATGTAAACCAATGAATGTTACGCCATTTACAAGAAACATTCTGATGAAGATGCCCCTTTGGTCCATTTCATCTAATTTTAGAATACCCACTCTATCACACCATGCCATCCTGCCCTCAATGACTTCTCAGTAACCTGTTCCGGTTGTTAAATAGCCTTTAGTTAAACAAATACTTCTTGATATCTGTCTTAAAATTGCCCTTTGCAACTTTTGCCCTCTTGTTCTCTTTCTGAAACGTTCTGGATTTACTTTTTCAATCTCATTTTAAATCATGGGTACTTCTTTAAGGGCTCCTCTGAGACACCTCTTGTCAAGGCTGAAAAGTTCTAACTTGTCTAAGGAATGCTCATTGCTCATTCCTCTAACACTGAGGAACATCCTTTTACCATTCTCTGTACTGCCTCTGGGCAGTTTATTTACCAGAGCTCTAAGCCACACTCCAGGTCCAGTCTGATCAAAGCATCATACATTTTGAGCACAACTTCTGAGGATCTGAACCCAAATGATTTGAGAATATAGCTCAGCATCCTGACTGCCTTGCTTATTGTTGCCCTATGTTGTTCTGACAGGGTGAATGATAAGTCAACTAAAACCATCAAGGTATCTTTCAGCTTCTCCACTGGCAAGTTATACATAACTACACGTGTTTACTATTCTTACTTTCTATATGTAGTAAAACATATAGAAAGTTGTTGACCATCACTTCCTGCGTGCTTCGCGTGAGCTGTACATATGCAGTGATGTCACTGGTAATGTGACTGGTGGCATTATGTTTACGGTGATCATGTCCTGTTTGTTGTAAGGCCAGTTGAGATCTTATGCAGCCTAACTACCATATTATACCAGAATTCTACTGTATTTTATGTCCCAAGCCGTTATTTGTCATGAGTTATGACTTACACTCCTGTATGATCAACAATTATCTTCAATAATTCCAATTATCTTCATTAGTCAGAACGTTTGTTTCCTTAATTCCCATCCTTTCTTCAGGTAAAATGCTTTTACAACATCAATGGGTATCTAGCTTTCAGTACAGAAGTTTTCAAGATTTTATGCAACAATAACAACAATAAGTTGTATTTATATAGCGCCTTTCAAATTGGAAAGATGTGCCACAAAGCATTGGCCATTTGAGGGTTTTTACCTGAGTGGGTTTTGGAGGTGCAGGAGTGTGGGGGAAAAGATGACCAAAAAGCAATCAAAGAGGAAGGTCTTGAGACAGACTTTGAAGGAGGTGAGGGAAGAAGCAAGGTAAAGAGACTCCGGGATGGAATTCCAAAGCGTGGGGCAGAGGCAAGGCAGGGGATGTGAAGAGAGGGAGTGAGTGGATTGGTTGGGTTTAAGAATGTTGCAGAGGTAGGGTGGGCAAGAGTGTGGAGGGATTTCAAGGTGAAGATGAGGATCTTGAACGCACTCCTCTGGGGGACGAAGAACCAATGAAGCCAATTGAGGATGGGAGTAATAGGCTTAGTTTAGTGCAGGAGAGGACATGAATTGCAGAGTTCTGGATCGTCTGCAGATTGTGAAGGGAAAAGTTGGGTAGTCCAGCGAGCAGAGAGTTGGTGCAGTCTAGCCTGGATGTGATTAATACACAAAATAACTTCTTCCCATATTGACTTCACGCTCAGTGTATTTATAACATGCTTTATGCTTGTGGCCCAAGTCAGTACCTCGGGTTCGTTCGTCAATGATTTCTTTGACTTTTAGCTTCTCTATGTTTCTTCTTGCTTTTTTGGTTGGGGGAGGCGAAGGATAAGCAGCAGCTTCAGGCTCCACCCAACTCTCTGTATAAACCTCTTTATAAGGATTTCGTTCCTCTGCAAAACAAAGGGAATGTTATGTTACTGATGCAGCTGAGGGTGACAAGAGCCAAGCACACAATAAACATTGGTATTGTTGGGAATCCTGAAAGACTTTATCAAAGTGCTAATTTTGTGTCAGTTTGTTTCTTGAATCAAAGGCAAACTAGAAAACTAGATTAAAAAAGAGGCAGATTAGAAATATTCAAGTAAACTAATTTGGACTGGCCGCCTAGTTCAAATTAGCATGCTAAAGGGTTAGGCTTTCTGACTGATCTTTTGGTACTGTACACAGATACACAGACTTACTCCTCTAGAGCGTAAGACTCCAAAATAATGAAAATGGTTTCACTCTTGCTTACAGTTTTGTCACCCTGGCTCAGTTGATAGCATTCTTTTGTTTAGACATAATGCATCATAGTTTGTTAATACAATCTGACCTCATTTGACTACGTATTTCTCAGTCTCCTGCTACCGCTCATGTTACCCTGAGGCTTCCTGAAGCCCCTCGTGCCACCAAACCACCCCCACACCCCCCAACCTAATGCCCACCACCATTGGCTTGCTCACCCCCAATTAAAACAACAAGGTCTATCGTAATGCGGCCTCTGGTTATCGTGGTACTCCTTCTCCCACTCTCTTAATTTATCTTCTATAGCAAGGTCACAGAACTAATTGGGGAACATGGAGCAGGCCAGAGTTGCTGAGGGGAGAGAGTGCATGGATTGGTATGGAGTTAGCAGGTTACAGGGGTAGGTGGGAGTAAGGCTGTGGAGGGTTTTGAAAGGCAACGGCGAGGATTTTGAACTCTATCCTCTGGGGGAAGGGGAGCAAGTGGAGTCAGGAGAGGATGGGGAATGATAGGTTCATGGAGCTTGGTAGGGGAAAGGACACAAGCTACAGAGTTCTGAATAATCTGTTTCTTGTAGAGGGAAGAGTTGTGAAGACTGACAAGCAGGGAGTTAGCATAGTCAAGCCTGGATATGATACCTCGAGCCTGGATCTTCAGGAAAGGAGAAAAAACTGAGATGAAAAATATAAATTGATGGAGGGAGGCTTTGACCTGGTTAAGTGCATCTGCTTTTGTCGTTAAAGTGGAACTGATTGTATTCCTCATCCCAACATGTCTGTGACAACAGCACCATCTCTACACACAGATAGCTAAGGAGGAAGGCGGAACTTGTTTTCACTTATTGCAAATCTTACCCTCTGGTGGTTCCAAACCCTTTGGCCCCGAGGGCAGAAATCCTTCCAGTGCCCAATCGATCATCTGCTTGGTTTGAGTTTCCACAGCTTTTCCAGTGTCCAACTCGTCATTCTCAGCTTGTACTGAGAAGTGGTTTCCTGCTCTGCTGCTCGCCACCTAGTCCAAATTAGCATGCTAAAGAGTTAGGCTTTCTGACTGATCTTTTGGTACTGTACACAGATACACAGCTTACTCCTCTGGGATGTAAGTCTCCAAAATAATGAACGTGGTCACATTCTCGCTTACAGCTGTGTCACCCTGGCTCAGTTGGTAGCACTCTTGCCTCTGAGTCAGAAGATTTTGTTTTCAAGCCCATTGATTTCATAGTCTACGCTGATGGTCCAATTTAGTACTCGGGGTGTGCTGCATTGTTGGAGGTGCCGTCCTTTGGATGTGAGGTTAAACCAAGTTCCCGTCTGCCTGTTGAGGTGACGTTAAAGATCCCATGGTTTCTCCGTGTATCCTGACCAACAATCCACAAAATAAAATTGGTCATAGCCGTTTGGGGACATTGCTGTGTGCAAATTGGCTGTTGCTCTCTTCACCTAAAAAAACACACTTTACAGTATTTCTTGTGAAGCACTTTGAGACATTCTCCCGACATGAAATGCACTATATCAATAGTAAGGATTATTATTTTATTATAATTATTACAACCATATCAGGATATGTATATAATGTTACCAAAAATCATTATATCTGAATGTTGCTTCACTATGACTTACATTGAATTATCTACGTTCTGATAATGCTTCATATTGAGAATGGCAGGGTATAGGTCTGGCATTGAACATAATTCCGGGAGCTTCACTGGACACAAGTATAGTTGAGCAATGTGTGGTTTCAAGGATTCTTGAGTAATCAGTGGGAGTCGGGGCCTCACTGATCATCTGTCTCTCCTGAGATGTCAATGTTTAGTAGAGTGAATTTCAAATTTATTCAGTGGGAATCAATAGGTGGGCATTACATAAACATAGGTTACTTTTCAGTTTGCCAACATCCTGCAGTATATAGTGGTGAAAATCCCCATATGTTGTTTTCAATGTCAGCTAGGTTCTCAATCCAATAAATCATTACATTTATTATCAAAAATAACCTGCCCACATTCAATACATCTTGAGATTCTATGCCATTTAACAGGAATAAAAAGGTTGCACTACAAAGATGATGAAGAGGAGGATATCTAACTGATTAGAATACTCATACAAGGGGGTTCATTTTAAATACAATGTTTAGAGATTGCCAAAGGTTAAAACATGTGATCAATCCATATGCTTTTGCTGCCTTTCCACGGTTGTGTGCAGAATTTGGTAACTGTATCTCATCTCAGAACACTATTAAAGTGTGGTCGGCTGAGTCCAATATCTCACTGACCATGTTGCCGCTGCCATCACTTACGTGTTGCATGCTTGTTATGCACAGGAACCAAGACTAATGTCACTTCCTGGACCTTACACTGGAAGCTAAGCAACCTCTGTATCAGATTCTTTATGACTATAAACTATAACAGATTCCCCGGTACCAACTTCTTGCCAGTTATCTTTTAATTCATTTTTAGAAAATATATCCTTTTTTAATATATATTATCACGATTTATGCTGATCTAAGTCAGAAGCTACTTAGATTGTTTATCCCCGACTTACCACTTCAACTGCTTGAGAAGTACATGCACTTGTGACTTTGACATCACTCAGTCAAGAGGACAAAGTGATAAAAGAATAGTATTGGTGCCACAATCTGTAAGTACAAATTAACTAAGGGGATCTCATACCTGTAGGACTTCAAATATTGCTTTCCTATACATAGGTTGTTTGCTGTAGGTTGGCTGGTGAAAGGCAGTCGAAAAAGTACTCAAAGGCATCAGTTTTTCTACACAGACCTGTGCAAACAGAAAACACTGGACTCAGTGATATTCATAATCCTTAATGTAAGTACACAATGCCTTTCATTTACATTCTTTAGCAGAAAATCTTATTCATTCATGTCAGCAGGAAGAATAACTGAGAGGTCTTATTCAGTCACCTCAGGAGGTGGAATATTTGATAAATAATAATAATAATAATCCGTGCTTTTCACGTCGGGAGGACGTCCCAAAGCGCTTCACAAACACACTGTAAAGTGAATTGACTGCATATTTCTGGGCGAACGCGGCAGCCAATTGCGCACAGCAATGTCCCACAAACAGTCGTAGATTGAAAATGACCAATTTTTTTTTTTTTTGATTTTGGAGGGATTATTATTAGGCGTGTGGAGTAAGGAAACTTGCCCATGGTTTCGCCCTGCCTGGAATTGAACTCAGGTTTTTCGCTTGCAAAGCGAAGTGCTCTAACCACTGAGCTACAGGACTCCACTGTGACATTTCATTCACACATAGAGCTATCAAAATGCTCAGCACAGAAGGCCATTTAACCCATTGTGTCTCTCCTCTTTTAAGAGCAATCCTTTTAGTCCCATTTACCTGACCTTTCCCCATACTCCTGTAGTTGACTCGTTTTGAAGTATGGATCTAGTTCCATGGAGTACCTGAAATCTCATTCACATACTTCAGGAGAAGAACATGATACATTTAATTCCCATATCTCAGAATCAGGAAAATCTGAGGTTTCGCATTCAAGCACCTCAAAAACAGGAGATCTTAAAACAATGCTTCTACAACAATCAGATTTTTCTTGTATATCTTGGATTTGCCCTGGTTACCACATATCTTGGTTATATCTTTTCCTGTACATATGTGACTGGAGCAACTTAAAGTATGAAAACAAAATGATGCATCTTTTTCTGCTGCATAAAAAAAAGTACTGACAGCAATAGTTAAGTACATTGCAGAATTGTTAATTGAATAATTGAGTTCAACCTTTGTAATGGAGGAGGATTTGATGCCAGAGGCAGAGGGAAGCCTAAAGCAAAGGAGGCACACCGAAAAATAAACAAGTTATTAAAAGGGAAGAAACAGTAGATATATCAATTATAAAGAATAAAGCTCTCTTGAGAGTACTAGAATGGAAGAGTACTGTCCACCAGAGGAGCGTGAGGATAACTCTCACTGTATTTTCCTATGTTTGCCTGTGTAGAGACACTTGTGGCAGCACCTTTAACCCATTACTCTGTAACACCACATTTTGATGCTTTAATATGTTACACACCATGCTGCGTCACTCCAAGAGATATTTCTCTAAAAACACGCTGCTGTGCTTGAATTTCATGGCTGCACTGCCATTTTCTTGACTCTTTTTCATTCAATGTTTTGGTGAACTCAAAAGACAGCACCCCTGTCAGCATTCCAACAGAGAATCATCCAAGGGTCATATTGATTAACAATACCTTCTTATTATATCATCCACAAATAAGGTGAGTTGAGAAAAACAGCACAGGTTCATAACAAAAGAATATGTTTGAGGATACATTTTCATAACACAGAAAGGAAAAGAACACAAGTGCTTTGTGAGACATTTAAATCACTTACAACGGAAAATTTGCCATCACCAAACCACATCACCCATCGTGTTCCTTCAGCTGCCCGGCTTCGACCAGTCATCCACCAAGACACAATGCGGCCAGGCCACCAGGAGAATCCACGCAATTTCCCCCAGACAAGCTCTCCAATACCAAATCCACGGCCATCCTGCAAATCCAGCAAAATAACATTTAATGTAGTAGTAATTAATTTAAAGATAAGAGAGAATCTCATCAGAACTGAATAATGGCAACAAACTATTGCCAATAAACTATCAACCTGGCTCAAACAGTTAGTAACTCTGAAGCACAAATACTCATTAAAGACAAGAAATGTCAAGGCCTGTAATACTGTCCACCTAATGACATCAACGGTTTCTTCAAGTGTGTGTGCCACAGGTTAAATGCTCTGTAGAGTCTATAAACAACATGTATGCATTGTATCAGCAACAACAACAACTTGCACATGTACAACGCCCTCCACATAGGGTAGCATCCCAGAGCGCTTAACAGTGGTGGAGCCCGACTCCGAGCTGGGCGGGAGGCTCGAAAAGGGAGGTTTTCAGGTGGGGCTTGAAAAAGGGGAGTGAGGGAGACAGTTCCAGAGTTTCGGGGCGTAGTGACTGAAAGCGCAACCTCCGATGGTGCAGCGTAGGGCACAAGGGACAAGCAGGAGGCTGGTGCCCGTTGCGCGGAGGCACTGGATGGTGGATTGGGGCGTGAGGAGGTCGGAGAGGTAAGAAGATGCCAGGGAGTGAAGGGATTTGAACATGAGTGTGAGGATCTTGAAGTCGATCCGTTTGGTCATGAGAAGCCAGGGGAGCCTGGTCAGAACTGGTGAGCTGTGGGTACGGAGTTTGGTCTGGGTAGAGTGCTGAATTAGGTGGATTTTTTGAATAACAATAATAATAATAATCCTTGTGTTTTCACGTCTTCTGGACGTCTCAGAGTGCTCCGCAGAATATATTGTAAAGTAAATTTAATAGTGGAGTTGGGGAGACTGTCGAGGAGTGTGTTTGAGTAATCCAGGTGGGAGCTGACAAAAGCATGCACGAGGGTTTCGGCTGTATTTGGAAAGGTACGACCAGAGGCGGGCAATGTTGCAGAGGTGGAAGAAGGTGGTCCTGGTCAGAGTCTGGATGTGGGGGAGGAAGGACAGCTGGGGGGCGAACTGGATGCCTAGATTGTGCATTGGTTCGGTGAGTCTGAGGGAGAGCCCGGGGAGGTTGCTTATTGAAGCGCTCTGAGACGCCGTCCGGCTTGGAGGGCGCTATATAAATCCAAGTTGTTGTTATTAAATTAGCTTGTTAAATTGCAGCAGTACCCCAAAGCCCCAAGCCTTGGCTTTTGCCAACTAATAGCATTGCTACACTCTGCACATTCACACTATTCATGTCAATTTCAAAAGGAAGTGATGTCAGTGGCAATTCTTATGCATTGAGGACCTGCACAAAACCCAGCAAGTGACATCAGCAGCACTTGCTGCACATCACACAGGAAATGAGGTCAACGGTGACCTGACAAACCTGAAGGTGCATGCTTTTTCAAGCTTCCTTTTAACTTAATTTTTAATCCGAGTTGAACACAAACCATCGTATTATAATGGGGCTGCTCAGCTTCTTTCTTTAACTATCATAACAAAGTATGCATTTTCCAGCAAGGGTCACCGGATAGTCATTTTGAGTAGAAACCGTGGCCCCTTTACACAGATCAGTCGTTTTGAGCAGAAATCATAGACCCCACAATACCCTATAGGAAAAAGCTTTGTACAGCACTTCAAACAACATACTTAGTCTATATATATTTATAGAGAAATTATGCTGGAGATACTCTAACACTGTATTGCTACCTTACGCTTTCCAATTGCTTGAATTAGCTGGATCGTAGCAATCTGTATTAAAGGGTTATTCCAAATGAAACTTGAAGATCTTAAAAAGAATATTCTCCTTTTACAGAGTGACCAAAAACTTGTGATATCTACCTTATTATCTAAAAACCCCCCAAAATATCATAGTTTTTTTCAGACATATTAGACATTGTAATGATATCACGACTTTTCGTTCACCCTATAAATAAGAAACCGTAGAGGGAGCACCTTATTTGTAATTCTAGACCTATTTGGCTAATAGGGGAAAGGGCAAATAAACTGAACAAAATCTATTAGTATTTAGAACTAGAGAAATTTACAGTACAGAAGGCCATTCGGCCCATCGTGTCACTGCCGGCTCTTTTAAGCATCAATCCTTTCACTCCCATTTACCTGCATTTTCCCCATAACCTTGTAGTTTACTTCCCTTTAGGTATTTATCTCCTCTAGCCCCCACACCGTCTCGTGTGGCTCTGTCCTTGGTCCCCTCCTCTTCAATATCTATATGCTCCCTCTTGGTGACATTATCCGCAGACATGGGGTCAACTTCCACGTGTGCGAATGACACCCAACTGTACCTCTCTGCCCCTTGACTTCAGGACCACTGCTGGGCTGACAGAATGTCTGTCAGACATCAAGTCCTGGATGAGAGCTAACTTTCTTCAGTTGAACATCAACAGGACTGAGACCCTCCTGATTGGCTCGCGTCAGTGCCCCCACACCTCAGGCACTGACAACATCACTATCCATGGTTGCACACTCCGCCTTACTAAGCCAGTCCGCAACCTTGGGCATCTTGTTTGACCCCCAACTACCCTTTCTACCCCACATCCGTGCCATGACCCACTCTGCCTTCCCCCACCTCCGCAACATCACTTGGCTCCGCTACTGTCTCACACCGCAGGCCTCCAAAACCCTCATTCACGCATTCATTACATCGAGGCTTAACTATGTAAACTGTGCTTGTCGGCCTCCCCAAAACCTCCCTCCCTCGGCTGCAGATCATCCAGAACTCTGCAGCCCATGTCCTCTCCTGCACCAGGCCCCGTGACCCTTTCACCCCCAACCTTGCCCGACTCCAATGGTTTCCATCACAAAGAGGAAACAGTTCAAGATCCTAGTCCTCACTTTCAAAACCCTCCATGGCCTTGCTCCCCTCTACCTCTGCAACCCTCCTAAACCCCTACCATCCAGCCCGCTCCCTCCGCTCAGTGGGCTCCGGCCTGCCTCACGTTCCCCGTCTTGGTGGGCAGGCTTCTGCCACTCAGCCCCCACCATCTGGAACTCCATCTCGCAGTCCCTCCGCCTCACCTCCTCCCTTGCCTACTTCAAGACCCTCCTCTTCGACTGTACTTTTGATCACCCTGCTTCCCCCGCCCTCCACCCTCCCCGACCCCCAGCTCGGGTCCAAAACAGTGACTGTGCAGCGCCTTGGGACATCCTCTCGACTTGAAAAGCGCTATACAAATGTAATTTTATTATTGTTGTTATCTGGTTTCCTTTTGAAAGCTAAAATATCTTCTGCCTCAACCACCTTGCCCGTCCGGCAAGAGATATCCTAACCAACTGAAAGGTACTGCCTAACTGACCAATGGAGGTAAGGAAGGAAAAGAGAGGGAGAGAGGGAAGCCAACTGTCAGCATTCTTTTATAATTGATCTGTTTCTTACCCTTATTGCAAGATAACATTTTATGAAGGTCGATAATCTTAAGGTATTTCATATAATTTTCATTTTTGAAGATGTACACTCTTCTGTTAGAAAATTTGTCCTGTTTTCTACAATTCTTTCCTCTAGCGGGTTCTTGCATGAACAAGCATGTGTTGCACCAACACTGTATGAGCAACAGAATGCAAGGGCAAGATGAATTTCTTAGGGTTGGATTGGTAGACGGAGCAGTATTAACTAATCTTTTTATACTAGGGATTAGTTCAGTTTCTTCTTAAAATGTGACAGACTACTGTTAAATGAGCCTGTCAAATCACTCAATCTAAAGAAAACTCTGGTATGGACCATCCATGAAGTGATGATTAACCCAGCTAAGGTCCTCATAAAGGGCATTGAGAAACAATCGTCTATGGGACTCTACAATCCTAGGACAAAACAGTTTACCTCATATTCGGCTTCATCGTTGGTCACTTTGGGATTATTCTTCTCAGCGACTTCATTTGAAATGACTGGGGGTTCTGGAGTTGTAGCAATACTGGGTGATGCTGGGTCAGTGGGTTGCTGTGGAGGTATTGTGCTTGTTTCTTCCTCTTTCTGAGTCTGGGGATCTTCCTGTGCGTTCATCACAGTAACAAGTTTGGCCTTTTTCTCCGCCTGCAGATAAGAGTGGGAAGTGGTTTTGGGAAGAGAAAATAGGTTAAAAAAGATACAAATGGCTGAAGGAAATAGCTGTAGGATGAGGAGGAAATCAGTTTATTCTTTACTTGCAAATAACAGTTGAAGATTCTGTAAGAGTTTGTAAAACACATGAAAGCTCCACTAATTAAATATTCTAATCCACAGCATTTTAAGAAATAAAAAACTTTTTATATGACTTTTTGGGGGGATAATGCATTTTGAAACATAAATATTGCAAAATACTTTCAATTAAAGGCATCTTTAATTAATCCCCAATAATAATAATAATAATAATGCAAGGATTATTATTATTATTATTATTATTATTATCTTGTCTTAAAAAAATGGCAAAGCAAGAGTACTAGAATAATAGGATGTTTTGTTCATTTGTAAACACTCATTAGGCTCAGGATGCAAAGCGTTAACGTGTCTGAAGATTCGGACAAATATTAGTGCCTGTGATCTAAGCATTTAGTGTTAGTTGGTACACAAGGATTGAACTTGAACATCGAGATGGCTGGCATGTCATAAGTTGGTCCTGTATAGGTCCTTCCATCGTGGTGAAGGCAGATGCCCTTCGAATAGCTGATGCTGAAACACTGAGGTTTGGGATGATGGCTGCTGGGAGGCATGACATGGAGTGTGGGTTCAACACTTACTCTTGTCTTCAGGGCTTGGTATCTACCATGATTGGTTTGCAGAGAGGAAAGCAGCAGCTGGTTTTAGCTAGTTATATCCCAGCAGCACACCAACCCACATTTTGAGGTCCCCAAGACTTGGCTCTTGCCAACCTGCAACTAATATTTTCCAGAAACAGGTAAGCAAGGTGCCTTCTTCTGAAAGTGAGTGCATACTCTATTCTAAACAAAGGGAAATTTCCATGTTAGGAGTTTCCTAAGCACTTTGGAACACTACCCTGCGTGAGGTTACCAAATAAATGCAATTTGTTGTTGTAGTGTGCAAGGAGGCATGCATTTACAGAGCTCATTCTGATTTTGATATTTGTAAGAATGGCATTATTTGTTTTGTATATGTCAGGCACCCACCCAGATGACCAAATCCCCTCCCAGAGAATAAATTGTTTTCCTAAACTAGGATCATTAGGAGATTGGTGGAGGCTCTGAATTTCCCCACCTAGAAGGTAGTTATGCCAGAGGTCATACCCCTTCCCTATTTCCAGGTTGGAAGTTTCACTGCAGCACTGTTGGAAATCTGGAAGAGAGGCATTTGCTTGCTCTCTTATCAGATAAAGTGATACCAGGATTGGAGGGAACCTAAAGGGGTTGAGGGACAAATAATTTCAAATCAGAGAGAAGCAATATCAGGGATGTTCACAAAGTATTTTAAAGTCATAGTGTTGTGAACTATGCAAATAACAGTTGAAGTCATAGCACCTACCTGAGAAATGCTCTGAAAATTAATCTCAATTTTTTAGCTGACATTGATGGAAGCATTTTCAATAGAAATTAAACAAATGACAGTAGTTTTTATTGAAGCTGTGTTGTATTTTGTGTTGTATAACCATGCGCTTGGAAACTCTTATTGAATATTGCATTGAAACCCTTTGTGGCAAAATCAGACCTTACAAACTAGTAAGAAAATGTCACATCTTACACAGCAAACAATCCAGAAAACACAGAAAATACTGTTCAGAAAACACCTTAGTTTATTACAGGTAAAATAAATCACTACAATAACTACTTCCGTAATTAACCTTAAAATCAATGAAACATCATCTCAGATTTAACTCAAATGCTCAACGTTAGTAATCCAGAAAGCTGTTTTAGGGAACGCTACAGAAAACATAATACAGCGGTAACCACTGCTATTGACTTACTTTACTTGTCTCCTGTTCTAGGCATTGTAATGTTCAACTACAGTATGCCAGTTTGCCATCTGCTCTTCAAGACCCCTCTTCGGCAGATCCCATCATTTGCACAAAGTTAAAGGATGGTCAGGCATTTAGTCATTGGGAATTCAATAGATTTGACACCAAATTTGCAATGTGTTATTGTGCAATGGGCATAGGTAGGGTTATTTTAGAACTAGATGAACATCTCTGGAAATTAGGCAAAACTTGATGTTGTTGAACAAAGAGCAGATGGCAAACTAGTTCTCTTAGCCGATCACACCTCCAGACTAGTCACCAAGTGAGAATTAAGCACATTCATCTTCATAGAATGTTGTAACCAGCAGTGTTTTAACCACTGATTTGACATAAGGTGCTAGGAGCAATAAATTCCGGTATCAATCATGATGGTGTGACCTTATAAACTGTAGTTCTTAAAATGTGAGTAATCAGTCAGCTCTTCATAAAGAAAAAGTTGCTGCCAATGAGATACTTGCAGTTCTCCCAACTCCCCATCTTCCCAGTATGCAGTACCATTGACTAGTGGTCCAGAGTGCAATATTGGTGTGCTCAGTTTTGTATTGAGCTGATTAGGGCAAATTGTCACCTTGTCCAGCATTTCTCACTTAAGTAAACACTGACAGCCTTGTGTAAATATTCAGTGCATAAATACCCAATGCTCCAGAAAGCAATGAATAATAAATTAATTGTGGGATTTAAGAGAGATTGATAGATACATATGGAGTAAGGGAGGTGTGGATGTGGGATTAGGTGAGGTTTGTAGTATGTGGGCCATCAAATGGTCTGTGGCAAAGCAGGCTCAATGGACCACATGGCCTTCTCCTGTTTCTAATTTCCTATGTAACGTAAAACTGCAGGAATTTTAGCCATCAATTTTAAGTGACATTGATGCCTTCCTTTACATTCAGCTAATTGTGACATTTATTTTCCCAGCTGGCAGGTGTCTCTGTAGCTAAGGCAGGATCTATTCTGCAATCCCTGCAGGTGGGATTCAGTTTCCATGAATGGAATTATTGTATCACATAAATCTTTTGCAAATCAAACAGACTCAAACCTTAGATGATTTTCTGCTGATGTCATTGCCTCTCAAAACACCACAGGTCATTAGTGGCAGAAACAGCAGGAGGTAAAAAATCTGCTACAAAAATGCAGGCTACCTTTGTCTGTCTGTCTGCCTGCCAGAACTGCCAAAACCCACATTGCATCACATTTCACTGTTCCTCCGCAATGTCAAGAGCAGAGTGACAATTGATTGGTACATTAGTAACTGGTTTGTAATTAGTAAATAAGGCACGGAGCAGAGTTGTTGTAAGAAGACCAAACATTAATGGCCTGGATTTGACTATAGTGTAATTATACTGCAGATAACACCAAACTAGGGATGCACTCTGTAATCAGTGGAGACAGCAAGGATTTTGCAAATAGAGCTTGACAGTGTAAATACTTGGATTGATTGTTAGCAAATGTATTTCAATATCAATAAGCACACCATAAGTAAAAGTAGGAGGCACATAATCTCCATCAATGGGATAGATATTGCAAAGCGGACGTTAAAGAGAATCAGGGATATTTGTGCACTAATTACTCATAAACATAAACTGAAAATCTTTGCAGCAAATGTAATTGAACACACGATTAGAGTTTTAAAAGTTGAAAGCACAACGATAATTATAAACTTAAAAAATCATTACTTACTGGCTATTAATGTATTTGTCATTTAAATGAAGCAGTGGATGTCTTACAGTGATCAATATTAAAATCAATACATGGGGTACAAGTCGGGTGAGGATTCAGCGGCTTTGGACGTGCTCCCAATGTGAAGGGCGCTATAAAATGTAATTTGTTGTTGTTGTTGTGACAGTTCATGTTCATCACTAGCAAGGATTAGTTGGGCTGAATGGTATGCCTGTTTCCGAGCCGTATCATCCTATGTAAGATGGTATATACGACATGCAATTCCCTAGTAAAAGTAGACATAACAGCCAGAAACAAAACTATACCATTATAAATCTCCAGCTTAGTTTCCATTATGTCTGAATATATTAGGTTTAGAGGAACTGTCTCAGGTTGGAGACAGTTACATAAGTTAAAAAGAAAATAAATAAAATAGCCTTTCGTGAGTCTGAGTTGTTGGGAGATTTATTTAATAAATTGTCCAGATGAGAAAGTTATTAATCTCAATAATTCTTTTTTATCACAATAAATCCTGCAAATCAGTCAGTTTGACAGACAATGTGGACATTATTTATGTATGCACCCTTGGGCTGAAACACTAAATTAGCTGAAGAGCTGTCATGTGTTTTCAGTGTTGTCTAGTGACTAACACAGGGTGACCAAAAAGTTGTGATACATTACAATGTCTAATAAGTCTTAAAGAAATGATGATTTTTTTAGATAATAGGGTAGCTGAAAAATAAGACTTTTTGGTTACCCTGTATAAGCTAGCAAAAACATTCAGTAATCAATACGTACAGCCAAAAGCATAAATATAATTTTTCACCAGTGTCTCAAAGTACTGCCTAGAGGCCAATGTGAACACTTAGAAAAATGGCATGCCAAAAGAAACATATATTTTTCTCATAGTTTTAGCTCAGGGCTCTAAATGATACAATATCAGTCAAAGGTTTGCAGATTATGATGAAAATTTTTCGGAGTATTATTTATAGCAACACTGACTTAAAGCATATTCTTCGTCACTTTTGTAATTTAGCCACTACAGCTTCCAAGTATAGTCAACTTCAACAGAAGTGCACTGATTTTCTTCAAAGGTAGATGTGAACGGCATCTATTTTGTGTCATGGGTAAACACGTGTGTGCAGAGGTTAGTTATATAATAAACAACCAATGAAAATATCAACTGTTAATTGCATAATTCAAGTCACCTATAATTTTGTCTATATACACGGGTTTGCACACAGTTTACACATGGTGCATAAAACACGTGTGCGTTCATTGGAGAAGGGATACAATGGAATACATTCTATCGCATAAATAAATAACACTTCTAAAGTAGAACATTGCTAACACATTGTCAATGATCTATTTGAGTGGGATTAACTCTGCTTCCTACCATTAGCTATTATAGGTTCTGTTTCTGTCACTCGCT